CTCAACCCAGCCATTAGTCTCTACTCCAACTGGCTTTAAAGCTTTTCTTTACCTGGAATACAAGCTGGACTCTCCTTCAGCTGCCTCTGCCCTCCAAGAATAAATAGTCAGTATGCCATGTGCTTACCGTAGTCATGCTGGGTATTCACCATCAATTCTTCAACAGTAATGCCATGAAGTGCATACTGTTATTTTCCCCATTGTATGCATGAGGAAAGTAAAGCACAGAGAGGTTAAGTAACTTACCTAAGGTCACACAGCCATAAACAGCAATAGTGCTTCCAGGCCAAAGGGGGCACAGTCTAGAGTCCCCCCAGTTCCTCTGGGCATGCTCCTTGTTGGCTCCAGTAAACAGACACAGGCTTCTGGTGTGGCCTGCCTTCAGCTAGTATCTGTGCTCAGTTCACATCAATGCACTGGCACCCCTGGACAGGGGACTTGCATAATTTTTGGAGTGTGTCCTTAACCACAGTGAGCAGGGCTCTCCCCAGAGCTGCTGTTCCCTATCCTCTCTCCTTCATTGTTCAGGGCTCTAGAGGTCTGTATCCTACCTACCTGGCTTCTCCTATAGGACCTGGATCACCCACAGTTGGACAGGTTGTGCACTGCCCATTTCTAAGGGCAGTCTTCACATACACTATGAGATGAATGAGCCTTCCCACCAGAATTGTTCTGTACCATCTGTCCTGCTGCCCGCATAGTAGATCTATCTTGGGTTCTGATTGAAGCTGGTTGGGATTTTTGCCTGCCCTTGAAACGTGTTTCCCAGACAGATTCAAGGTTCTGGGACTGTCTCTCTATGCTTTGTTTGCCAGGCCCCTTGAGATCCACCCTGCTATGGAGCTAGCAGGGTTCCCTGTGGCCTATGCATTGCCCAAGCTGGAGCTGGGTGGGAATCAGTCCACCCTGAACCTGTCCCTCATTGCACAGAGGCATGAAGCAGCCTGGGGCTCCCCACCCCCAGGTGCCAGTTGGGACTAGAACCCACATCTCCTGATTCCAGAACCATAGTCTTCTTCCCACTCCCCAGGCTACTCTCTCTTCCACTGTTGTTTCATCCAGTTCTAAGTACCATGAGTGCATCTAGAGGGCGAACAGCCCTCTTCCTCCTCCCCTTCTACCTTTCTCCCCTCCTCCCCCTCCTCCCCCTCCTCCTCCTCCTCCTTGGGTTTCCTAACAGCACTTAGCAGCAGGTTGGGTAATTGCCTGGTTTGGTCCTTTCTCCAGCTCCTTGTAAACAAAGTACAGAGAAGCCACAAACACTGGGGCCCAGCATCTGGGACGTAGATCTAGCCATGACTCATTGGAGGGTGGGATGGGGACTGGAGACTTTAGTGTCTCACAGAGGAGGGCTAATTCAAGGCCATGCCCCACAAGGGCAATCAGGATTGGTTCTGATCAGGGCTTCCCTGGCTTTGGAGGTAAGTGTGTGACCATAGTCCACACTTCCACTCATTAGACAATACATGTCAGTCCTATGCCCTGCCAGTGTCAGGTACCAGGTGTGTGTACAGAGAACCCCCAGTCTTTGCTTATGAGAGCTTATGGGCAACTGGGAGAAACGTGTTATTTGTAATAGACTATGGAGAGCACTCAGAACCATCATGTGCAGTTGCACAGGCTGTGTACTGCCCAACTCTTAAGGACATACTTCGCATACACTGATGACTGCACTCTCCCCTAGAGTTGTGATGCACCGCCAGCCCAGCTGTGTGCATTGGCCCTGAAATCCTCTTGCAGACATAACGTAAGGCTGTAGGCTCTCAGGGAAGGACCACACCTATGGGTGGGAAGTGAAGGAAGGGAAGTGGCAGGTGCCAGTCTGAAAAGATTTTACCCCAAAGAAGAAGCTTAAACTGGGTCTTGAAGGATAAACAGCAAGTCTCCAGGAAAATAAGAGGGAAGGGTGTGCCAGACAATGAGGCTGGTATAGTCTCCTGGGCAGGAGTTCATGTGGAGGGGAAAACAGATCTCAGAGCAACTCAGGAGGCAAGACGGGGTGGCACTCAGAGTCGCAGAGGACATGGGAGTAACAGAGCAGGAAGATCCTGTGACCTGACTCCCGGGTTTGATGACCAGAGCAATAGTTGCAGATCCCTCCAGCTGACTTGCCCTCCTGGAGGCCTGCCCACACTGAGTGCAGGGTTTGGGATAGATATCCAACAGCTGGCAGGGCCTCAGGCACTCAAGCCCGGGAGATGGGTCACATCAACAATGTATTTATAATTTATACCCCACTTACACAGAGGCCGATGTTGCCTTCTGCTGGTGTTTATTCCTTCCAGGATAATTTAGATGTTCTATTTCTGGAGTATCCCTCACAGCCAAGAGGGCACAGGGAGCAAGTGCCACATCTGTCTGCCTTCACAGGGCTGGTGTCCACTCCCCTCCCAATGAGTGCCTGTGCCTGGCGATCTGGTGCCCTGGGGGGAGGGGCCTCCAAGTGCCCTGAGGTCCCTGAGGAGGAGCTGGGCCAGGCCAGTGCTTGCCACTTACTAAGGTGATAATTTGCCGTTGTCCCCAAGCAATTACAGATTTCATTTGTCCAGACAATAGCTGTAAATTGGATATAGGACAGGCAGGGGCAGAGATATGATTTGAAAGCCAAAGAGCTGGAGGGAAATTGAAGAGTGTGTACTGTCAGTTAAGCAGAATGTCGGAGGGGAAGAGAAAGCCACCTTGTTTAGGATTCTGGCATAAGCACTTTGTTTAAAGTCCAGTTCATTGAGGTATAATTTATATATAATAAAATTCACCCATTCTAGTGTACAGTTCTTTGAGTTTTGGCAAGTGTGTATGATCTTGTAACCACCGTCACAGTCAAGACACCCAGCACTTCCATCAGCTCAGAAAGTTCCCCACTGCCCCTCTGAAGTCAGCCCCAACACCTGGCAACCATGAATCTGTTCTGTATCCTTACAGTTTTCCCTCTTCCAGAATGTCATTTACATAGAATCATAAAGCATATAGCCTTCAGTGGTTTTTTTAACCTTTTTTTCTCATTTCTTTTTTTATTGAGGCACATACAATAAAATGCACAAATCTTATTGTACAGCTTGATGCCTTTTGGCACATGTATACACTCATGCAGCCATCACCAAGAACGAGATATCAAATGCTAATTTTTTCCCCTTAACCTATTTCACCCATCCCATGGCACCACTGGTCTCTTCTCTGTGTCTATGAGTCTATTTCTGTTTTGTGTATTTGTTCGTTTGTTTTGTTTTTTTAGATTTCACATATAAGTGAAATTGTATGGTATTAGTCTTTCTCTGACTTATTTCATTTTGTGTAACAGCCTCTAGGTACATCCATGTTGTTGCAAATGGCAGTATTCCTTTTATGGCTGAGTAATATTCCATTGTATATCTGTATCACACCTTCTTTATCCATTCATCTATGGATGGGCACCTAGGTTGCTTCCATATCTTGGCTATTGTAAATAATACTGCAGCAAACAGGAGTGCATATAGTTTGTAACCTTTTGAGTGTGGCTTTGTCTTAGCAAAATGCATTTTCAGTTCATCCACAGTATTGCACCAATCAGTAATTCCTTCCTTCTTATTGCTGACCATGGTGTGAATGTGCTCCATTTTATCCAGTTCTCCAGTTGAAGGCAGGACATTTGGGTGGTTTCCAGTTAGGGGTCATTACCCATAAAGACTGAACATTTGCATACAGGTCTTTGTGTGGTCATGGTTTTCATTTCAATACCCAGGACTTAGGATTGCTGAGTCGTATGTCCAGTGTTTGTTTAACTTTATAAGAAACTGCCATACTTTTCCAAATGCATGTACTATTTTGCATCTTTACCAATTCCAGTTGCTCTCATTTCTTATAAAAAAAAGTAAAGAGTAAAGTAAAAAGGGTGCTGCAGAGGTTCTGTTGATAAGGCATCAGTGCTGCTGGGCAGCTGACAGGAGAGGGTTCTGGACACCCTCATCCCCTGCAGTGCTGCATCCACTTCAGGATTTATTTTCCATTGGAATCTTTGTTGAAATGATAGTCAAGCCCTTGCTGAGGTTTCTCATTGGGCCTCTTTGTTACGGCTTCCCATGATGGATGGGTTTTACACATTGGGCACAGAGCCCATGCTGGGCCTCATGCTTGAGAACAGTGATGCCAAATAAATGACCACAGACAGTTTTCCTGCACGCTGCTGCTTGTGCACACCATCCCTCCCTGAAGCTGTACCCAGGGGTGTTCTGGGGCCCTTCTAGCTGGATGGGAGGCAGAGGCAGCCATTGAAGAGTGGTGACCCCCTCACGTAGTGACAGAAAGCCCAGAAGCCCAGCCCAAAGGCTGCCTGGATGCGGAGCCAGTGTGTCTGCCCGGCACCAAGAGTGTGCTCTGGGCCAAGGCCACAGGGATGAGATACAGATGGACAGAGTGATTGCCAGACCTTGCCCTTGGGAAATTGGTGGTCTCATTTTGGTGGAAAATGAGCAACATACCCCAGGCTAAGCAGTATTACCAAAAGCAACATGACAGTTCAGGGATCCGTGCCCCCAAAAATGGAAAAGATGGCCACACCCCTCATACAAGGAAGAAAAGTAGGGTTGATGCGAATTAGACTTTGAATGACAGTGGGGTGCAGGCCCTTGACAGGGGCAGCCACAGACTCCTAGAGGCCCGAACATGGAGGCCCCACAGAGAAGACTGTCCATCTGCGTGACCTCTGCCAGAGCCTTCTTCAGCCACTTCCTCCCTCAGAAAAAGTGGGGTCTCAGGCCCATGGGTCTATATATGGTTCTAGAGGCTGGCTGGCTCAGGGGCCCCCAAAGATTGGGGGTACAGAGGGAATGTGAGCACCCCAGGCCTCTCTGAGACATTTCAAGTCAGAACTACAGGGCAGCAGAGGGAGGGATGAGCAGCTTCCTGGAGGTCACAACTCTGGGTAAACTGAGTCATCTCCTGTTAAGTCATGGGTGGGTGGCTGCCCCCCAGTCCTGCTGGGACTTATATGGAACTAACACGATAACCTGCATCTGTTCATCCAGGTGCAAGTTCTTCAGTCTGACCGAGACACCGGAGGATTACACCATCATCGTTGATGAGGAGGGCTTCCTGGGTGAGTGCACGGGGCTTGGCTGGGTGGGGCCTGCAGTCAGTGCTGGCCGAACCTCTCCCTGCTGCCCTGCGCACTCCAGCGCTTAAGGGCCAGGAAGATTAGGTTTGCCCAGCCCAGAACTACAGCAGCTGAGAGGGAAGGGCATATGTCTGAGCATCTACGTGAGTGAGGTACTTTAGGTTACCCTCAGTCCTTGCATCCCTTGGAGCAAGCCCCAGTTACCTCTGTTAGGATTTGCCTTTTTTCCATTTTGAGATATAATCACATACATAAGATGCACTATTTTAAAGTGTCCAGTTCCGTGGTTTGCAGCCTTCACCACTATCCGATTCCAGAGCATTTTCGTCACCCCGAAAAGAAACCTTTGGTGGTCACCCCCATTCCCCCCTCCCCAACATCTTTTTAGATTTGATGGAGGTTTATGGTGTTTGGCCTGCTCGAAATAACAATGATCATTCATTCCCACTGACCACCACACGGGAGCTTAGGAGGTGGTGCTGATATTTGCACTGTCAGGAGAAGCTGAGAACAGAGAGGGGAAGTTATGGGCCCCGGGCTCACGAGCCATGAGCTGGACTCCCTGACACCTGGAGTTCACTCTGAACCCCTAAGTTCCATTCTACAGAACACGCAGAGAATGCGACAGATTCAACATTTTTTAAAACCCTTGTTCACCTCAAAGATAGCTATGGATAACTTTGGGGTGGTTTTATTTCCAGCTTCTTTCTGCCTGCGGTTGTCCCTTTCTAATTTTCTTACCAGCATGTCGCACAGAGAAATGTTTTCCCTTAGCACCGTCGCTTAGAGCTGACTGTGCTGCCACAGCTGCCACACCAGGCACTGTGGTTCATAGGCCCCACTTCTGTGCCCAGGCCCCTGTGGTCAGAATCAAAGTTGTTTTTGTTGTTCTTCAGTGATAAATTTACAAACTCCTGAAACGGGTAACGTTTATTCTTATTCAGGCTGATTCTTAAAATGCAGTCTGAGAAATGACCTCATGGGATCAGAAGTCGATCGTATTATAGTCTCATCCATGCTGCTGGCAAGGCAGCCTTATTAGACTCTTTCCCCATGAGAAACGAAGCCTGTGCCATCCTCACACGCATGTGCTCTTGGGCACCAAGTCAGGATGGGGGTCTGCACCTGGCTCCTCTCATCTGAGAGTGTCCTTCCCACCTCCAAGGGGCAGCTGCGTGGCCAGAGTAGGGATGAGGCAGGCCCCACAGTAGGCCCTGCCCCACCTTGTCACTTATTCATTCAGCAGACATTTGCTAAGCAAGCAGCAACAGACAGAAACTTTTGACTTAACCACAAAGCAGTCACATGAAGATTGTATGTTGGGCAACCCAAACAATTTTCATTTTCTCATGGGTGCTCATGCATTTATACAGAACTGCTGAGAAATGTGGCGCCTCGGCACAGAAGGAATGGTAGCAAATGAGAGAACACGGTGAGCAGGGAGAGGAAGGCATCTGCAGGATCTGGTGAGCAGGTTTTGCAGGCCCTGAAAGGAATTTTTGCAGGAATTGTCAGTAACCAGGGAGATGTCCTGAACCTGAGTGGCTGGTTTTTCTATGCCAGCCCCCAGGTTACTGAGCACCTGCTATATACCAGCATCTTGCTGGGCCCTGCAGGTGTGGCTGGGTGAGAGCCACCACCTCTGACCCCATGAGCCTCAGGACCTGCCAGCTCATTACATCAGTAATTGTGGAGTTGCTGTGGGGGTGGGTGCTGTGCAGGTAGAGCAGAGGGTCTGTGAAAGCACATTGACACACCACTGTGCAGGAGACCCCCGTGGCGGGGCCCTTGAAATAGGAAGCAAGATGCCAAAGAATGGAGATGTGAGCTCACTTGACTCAGCATATGTTGACTTACTTCACCACCCCAATAGTGCCTCTGTCCTGTAGACACTGTGCTTCAGCACCGGGACAGACTAGGGAGGGAGAGAGCATGTCAGGTGGGATCTGTATGAGTAAGCATGGGAGTGGAAGCAGAGACCAGGTCCTGCTTCTGTAAAGGAAATAAGAAGACAGAGGTTCAAACAGAGGGGAGCAGGGCAAGTTTGAACTTCATTCTATAGGCAGGGGGGAGCCATTGAAGGTTGTTGAGCTGCTAGAGTCATCACTGGGGCTGGACTCTGGAGGAGTCACTGGGGAGAGAGTAAGGTAAAGCCCCCAGGAGTGATAAGCAGGCTCTGTCCAAACTGAGGTCTTCAGGCTCAGGCTGAGACCCTAAGTGGCTCAGTAAGAGTATTACCCACAATCCCAAAACCCTGGTTCCCTGGAGCCTTTAATAATGACCTGTGACTCTTAGAATCGCCTTGGACGGCCTCTCCCTGAACCTTTCCCAGGACAGGAACAGTGCTGATTGCCGAGGTGGAAAGCAGGTTTTAAGTTATTAGCCCAGCCCTGGCTGTCCTTAACGCTATGACTACCTGAGTAAGGGTCTCCTTTCTAGGCTGCATTTCCTGGTCAGCAAACTGGGCTGCCTGAATATCTATTATTGCCCTAGAAAAGAATATGTATGTTTAAGTAGTAAGTGCCTCTCCCAATTGCACTGTAGAGCTACAGAGGGAAGTATACGAAACAAGGCTTCTGTTTACCCCCACTGCTCTTACTGTTAACAGCTCAGCACAGATGCATCACCTCACGGGCTCATGCCAGCAGCCTGAAGGGTAAAGAATAAAGACCCATTTTATAAGTTAGAAAATGGACATTAGTTGCCCAGAGTCACTGTGAGTGGTGGTGCGTTGATTTGAAGCAGGAGATGCTCTCAGGCAGAGTCCACCTGAAATAAGGAGAAAATGCTGCTGACAAGTGGTGTGGGGGTTCCAATAGACCCAGTTCAGGAGCAGCTGAGAAGAGGGATGGGTGGGCCAGTGTGTGGCCCGGGGTGGTCTGGGAGGACTCTCAGAGGGCAGGCTTTGGGTTGGGGGCTGCAGTGAGAGGCAGAGAGTCTGAGTTCCACTCTCTCAACTCAGCTCTGGGGTTTCTCTTAGGAGGCTGCTCTTCAGAAAGCAGAGTTTGCTCTGGGGCCACTGGCGGCATTAGGGAGGCATGCTGTGCAGTGTGAACATTGCTTCTCACAAAGGGCCTCCTATGGCCACTATTAACCTGAGCCAGGGTGCCTTGGTTATTGTTTGCTGGCAATATCGCCAGCATAAAGCTTTCACAGTTAGGAACCAGCAGCTGTCTGCAAGTTCACTGTCACATGAGATGCTGAACCTCTCCTGGGGAGCTGGGCGACTGTCAATGACGTGAACCAGACACCAACTTATGTGGAAATTAAGAGGTTCTCGGCTGAAATAGATGTTGTATGTCTGTGTGGCAAGTGGAAGGGATGTGCATGAGTGTATTGTGATCTTTTACGTATTTAATCTGCACTTACCATGTGCCATGCTAGGTGTTCTCGGGGACCTAAAGTAATGTGAACAGCAGTCCCTGCCGTGGGTAGGGGGAGAATCTTAGGTTTGCAGGTAGAGGGACCCAGTGCTGATGGAAACCCCATCCCTCGCAGTCCCTGTGCCAGTCCTTTGTGTCAGTTGATCTGTCACTGCCCATTGTAACACACTGGGGCAGGCCGTGCTCCGTGGGCCATGAATGGCTGTAAGATGGAGGGAGGGAGATGTGGAGAAGTGACTCTGGGGCTCAACCTGGACTAAGATGGGAAGGCCCAGGTTGGGATCCAGCTCTAGGGGCCTCCAGGGCCTGGTCCCAAACACAGGATTGCCACCTTCCCTCTCAGTCCTGTAAGATGTGCACGTGACTGTATGATGCCCATGTGCTGCATAAGCACCAGGGAACCGTGCCCACTTGGCATGCCCAGCGGAGCAGACTGTGCAGTGCCTATCAGAGCCCCCAGCGTCTCCTTCCATAGCTGGTAGTGGACCATTTCAGTAAGCCAGCGGGCAAAACAGCGCCCCCAGAGGGCGCTGCTACCTGAGATCCAGGCCAGTGAGTTCAGGGCCAGTGCTTGCTGTCCCTGAGTCTGACCCTTCTGGTGACTAATGAGGGGACCACGCACACTGGCATTTGGGTTGGCACCCACTGTGTAAAATAACAGCCTGGCAGCTCAGCCTGGAGCTGAAATTTCCTTTCACAGGATGGGAAGAACAGGGCAGCAAGGGAGAGAGGGATGGGCCTCAAGGGCCTGCTGGGGAGGGTGCCCCCTGGAGAGTCCTGGTTCATTCCAGGACATCACCATCTCCCGCCCACCCCTCCCTCCTGGCCACCTTGTGGCCACGTTCTTCCTGCGATGTCTCCGTGATCTGTGCCCCTCGGTGTGGGTATTTTGCCCCGTTGGCGCATATGCTTCTTACCTTTTCATTCCACTCAGTGTAATCTCATGCTCACCTCCCAATATCAGGTAGTCTCCAAAAGCATGCTTCCCAGCCATACTCTGTTTTGACAGTTTTCAAACTTGCACCACAGTTGAGAGCCTCGCAGGAACCACCCCCATACCCTCCACCTGGACTGAGACTGGCCAGTTGTTAACCTTCGCAGACAATTGTCTGCCCTCTCCTTGCATAGGCACATATATACTCTGTTAGTGTTTACTGAACCCTTTGAAACCAAGGCCTCAGGACAGCTCACCCCTACAGACCCCCAGCTAAGTATTCCTACTTACCGCATCTGTGGAGTGAAACGTTCATTCCATAGTATCTAACAGATTTTATGGTCTCATTTTCTCAGCTATCCAAAAGTCTATTTTATAGCTAGAAATCATGTTTTTTACACAGGCACATAGTATTGTCATAGATGAGCTGTGGTCCGTCTGCCCCGCCCTGTCAGTGGACTTTAGGCCACTCCACATCTTTGTTTTGAATCCCTTTGGGTTGAATGCTCTTGCCAGTGAATCTTTCTTCACCCATGTGTAACTGCTCCTTTATAAGGAAATTGCACATTTTTTAAACTCTTGATACATTTTACCCAGCTGTCATCTAGAAACTGGCAAAGTAGTAACAGAAAGGCCCTGGCATTTGCTTAGGCACTTAGCTAAGCCCTTGATAAAACCTATCTCAGTTCGTCCTCAAAGCATCTTGTGGAGTCGATCCTGATTTCATTATCCTACATTTGAAAGCTAAGAAAATGAGGGGCAGTGACTTTGTCCAAGGTCACACAGCCAGGATTAAAACCCCCCCACCCCCCTCGACCCAGTACTCTTGATTCTGTGGGCAAGGTAGGAAAAGTCTGAGGAACACAGTCTGCGTGCCAAGGACACAGCCGTGTGGCACAGGGAACTGCGGGTCCTGTGGCCAGAACAGGGGACTCCAACAGGGTTGGGGGTACAGTGAGCAGGATGGGGGAGCTCCACACAGGAGCAGAGCTGTCCAACTCTGGCAAGTGGGTGGAAAGACACCATTCCCTCCTCTACCAGGAGCGTCCTCCGCTCTGAGAGGCTATTTTTAGGTCTTGGACAATGGGCAGTGACAGAAATAATCCATTTCAGTCTTGGAATGGGTCCACTTTTCCTCTAAGGAAGGGCAGGCTTGCTCTGTCCTGGCCAGCCTCCCAACAGCTCATCCCCTTGGCCCCACAGGAGCACCTCGGGCACCCCGCGGCTTGGCCTAGGGTGAAGATGGGGCCAGAAAGGCCTTTCCTCTCCCCCAGAATGCAAGGCTACATTTGGGGTCCTTGCAGCAAATACTGTGGCCTCCTGCTGCTTGTGCCGCTCTGACAAAGCTCACCCTTCTGGAAGCCTCAGAGAGGTGACTGCTGGCCTGGAGCTGACCACCCTCTCCATCCAGGCCTCCCGCTTGAAGAACCTCAGTGAGTTCTACCCAGGGCTGAGAGCCAGGATCAGCAGCCTTGAGGCCCAGCAGGGCAGGTAGACCCATCCTGACTGACTGGCCACCCAGACTCTGGCCAGCAGTTGAACTGACCTCACATCCTCTGGGCAATGGCAGCCCATGGGCTCTCGCTAACCCCCACCCACCCGATGCCTTCATCCCCAGTCTGTCTCAGGCCTGGGCTTCTCCTTGGAACTCATCCAAACCTGCAAAGAGACTCCTCGGAGCAGTGCCTTGGTTCTGCGAACACCCCTAAAAATGCACACACCCCAGCACTTCACTGGCTCAGGAAACGCGCCTTCCCCACTGTGTCCATAACGGCTGCCCAGCAGCCTCCGCTGCAGAGGATGGAGCCACAACTGGGGTCCATAACAGAGCCCAAAGCCTGTGTTGTTTGCCCCTACCCACCCACCTGCTCTTTGAGGACCCCCTGAAAAGTGGAACTCGTGAGTGGGACAGAGAAGGGTCCACCTGCCAGGTGAAGGCATTGCAGGGTCCATCGAGACCACGTGAGGGTGAACACCAGGGTCTGAGACTCACAGCATCTGACCTAGAGGTTGGAACCCACCTGCCCCAGCACCATCACTTTATAGTTTTGAAGCTAAGCTCGGTGTAAGGGGTTTCCTTGATACCTGGCAGCAGGCTGGTGGCCAAAGCAGGTCTAGAAGGTATTCCACAGTGCTGGAAAGAGATACCCCTCCATTTACTGCACAGTGACCTTGGACCAGTCAGTTTCCCTCTCTGGGCCTGTTTCCTACTCTGTGATACGGGGCAGGGGCTGACTTCTCAGAGCTTGTTGTTATCTGTAAAAACACGGACAGCCTTCTGCTCAGTCCCCCACTGATGACTAAGAATTCAAAGAAGTTGGCAGTGTCTGGGGCTGTCCCACCCAGGGTCTGGCAGTGACCAAGCCGTGACCAAATGGGGAACGTGGGGGTGCAGAGAAGGCAAACGGGTGACAATGGGGGGGCCTGGGTGGAGAAGAGGGGAGGAGTGGCCGCCACTGTCCCTCCTCATGCATACATTTGGCACCTCTGTGTGCCAGGCACTGAGAGTGAGCAGACCAAAACCGCCACCCAGGGGAGCTGACGCATTCATGGTGCCGATCATTGACTTGCATGCCCAGCGCAGCAGCCAGTCTCCACGCACAGCTCCGGGAATTTCAACGAGTTGAAACTAGATAAACGTAAAATGTGAATTCTCCTCTAGCGCTAGCCACATTTCAAGTGCTCCGTAGCCCTGTGTGGTGAGCAGCTGTGGGTCTGGACAGTGCAGTGTGGACCGTCTCCATTATCACAGCACTCGTGGCCGGTGTGCTGCTTGAGAACATGGCGAGGACTTCGGCTTCTGCTCCGAAGGTCATGGGAAGCCACTGGCGGTTCTGAGTTTTGAGGAGCTTGGAATGAGGCAGGCAGAGGCGAGGTCACAAAAGCTGATCTGGTCTGGTTGTGTTAGTATGCAGTGACATAAATAACCTTTCTAGAATCTTCCCACAAGGCTTTAAGGATTCTGCTGTAATGAGAGGAGGTATTTTTAAAATTCCATCATTAACCATATTAAAATGGTGCATCAGGTGGCTGGCTGGCTGCTTGTCTGGGCTGCATGAGTCACGCCCAGCGCACAGGACCTCATGAAGCATTAGTGTTGGCCATCTAATAAGGCACCTGGCCCTCAGTGGCTCCTGGAGCTGTCTCTGCTTGCACAGGGTGGGGGGCTCACAACACTGCCCCCAGGAAGTCCCCTCCATGGCCAGGTCCAGGACCATTAGAATTTCAGAATTGAGCTGGGACTCCAAGTTCAGGGGACCTTGTTTCCCCTGGGAGTCCTGGGACTGAGAAATCTCATTTCTAACACCCTGGAAACAGGTAGCGGAAGCCTGAGACCCAGGGCCTCTTAGAACCTTTCCTCCTCTCTCCCTCCCAAACCTTTTCCCTTTCCTGGGAAGCACCTGCCTCTCCAGCCGGCCTGGCCAAGGACTGGCCTTTCTCAGCAGGCAGGACCAATGGGCTCGCTAGGCCATGGTTGCCATGGCGACCAGAGCTAGGCTGGTAGGGGCCTGGCTGGGGTCTCACTCAATTTCCCCTTCTCGGAAGCCATCTTGCTGGCGGCCAGCACAGCCTGTCCTGTCCTAGGGCTGCAAAGAGACTCCTTGGAGCAGAGCCTTGGTTCTGCCAGCACCCCTAAAAATGTACACACCCCAGCACTACACTGGCTCAGAGGGACTTCATTGTCATCACGGCCCCTTAATCGCCAGTGTCTGGGCCCCTACTACACTGGCTCAGAGGGACTTCATTGTCATCACGGCCCCTTAATCGCCAGTGTCTGGGCCCCTCTTCTTAGTCCCTGCCCTTATTTGGGACCTGGCCCTTCTTCCTCCTTGACGCCCAGGACAGAACATGAGGGTTTATTTGTAAGTCAGACCTGAATTTGAATCCTAGACCTTATGCCCTACATGATCTTGGGCAAATCACCAGTCCCCTCAGCTCTTGTCTGTCACACATACAGTGGGAATAGCAATTCTGGTACAGGCTGTGTTTAAGCAGACATTGGGATGCATGGAGAGCCCCAGGTGTGGCCTGTGCACAGCTCTGTGCTACGTGTCTATGGAGACATGCACACATGTGTACCTGCATCCTGTGCAAGGCCCCCCCACCAGGGCATGCTCTGCAGGATGGAGTGAAGGGTTGGCCTGAACACTTGGCCCCACAGTCTTCATGGATTCTGGGTCTTCATGAGAGATTCCATGGGCCTTGGCAGTTTGCTGTCACTCTGAGACTTCCCCAGTGCCAGCCTCTGCCAGTGCCAACCCACAGGATCCCTGAGGTCTCTGGAGGGTCTTGGGTGACAGTCCCTGCCTGCCAGGTGGCACCCTCAGGAGCCCTTCTGTATCTGTGTGCTCTTCAGAGAAGGCTAACATGCAGGCCTGGTTAAGCAGCGAGAGCAATCCCAGGGCCCCCACCCTTTCTTCTCCTGACCTCCCCACCTCCAGACCCCCTAGGAGGTTCCTGGGAACCCAGTTTGAAAACCCCAGGGAGCACTCCACCAGCCCGAGGTGGTGATGGCAGCACCTAACAACCAGAAGACAGTGAAACTGGAAACAGCTTGTTCCTGGCTGCTGGGCACCCATCAGTTCGCAGCTGAGGAAATGGGCCCAACACAGATAAGCTACATATCCCCAGGGTTCCCGCCGTGCCAAGCCACCTGGCCTGTCTGCAGTCTTGCAATGGCCTTCCCTGCTCAGTCTTCCCAGGATGGGACCTTTGAGGTCAGGCCCATCCTTTGATGGATGTGGGTACTGAGACCCAGGGCCAAGGCAGGTCAAGGTCATGCAGCTGGCACCAAGCCCCAGTCCCTGCCTCTGAACCTGCCTGGGGACCTGGGGCCCATCAGTCACAGGCCTGCCTTCTGTGTCCCCCTCCAGAGCTGCCCACCTCAGAGCACCTGAGCGTGGCAGACGCCACCTGGCTGGCCCTCAACGTGGTATCAGGCGGTGGCAGCTTCTCCAGTTCCCAGCCCATTGGCGTAACCAAGATCGCCAAGTCAGTTATCGCCCCGCTGGCTGACCAGAACATCTCCGTGTTCATGCTCTCCACCTACCAGACAGACTTCATCCTGGTAAGCTACAGCTCCACATCCCAGGCCCTTGGGGTACGCGGGCACACACCCTTCAGACATGGTCTGCTAAGTTCTGTGGCCTCTGTTCCATGACCAGCTCAGAGAGAGGTCAAGGGTACCTCAGGGTCATTGGTCAAGTGTCACTGTGCCCCAGGCTAGGCTCCAGGTGTGCACTTAGCCCCACCCACCACCTGCCTTCTGTATGGGCCATACTTCGTTTAACCCGGAGACCAGGAAGTGAGGGCTGAGGGCGCGTGTTGAGGGGGTGCCCTCCAGGTTGGACTCCTGGCTGCACACACCCTTACCATTCCCCTGGGGTAGCATGTCTGGTCACAGGGCCAGTGGCAGTTCCTGGCCACCATTCTCTTCTCCCATGGGTCATGGCCATCCTCGAGAGTATAGGCCTCGGGAGGGGCAGGGACAGGTCTGAGCACAGCCCTCAAAAGGGTGGAGTGAGGGCACGAACCTCCTTACCCTCAGGGCCGTCTTCTCCCCTCTGCGTCATCCTGTTTCTCCTAAAGGGGCATGCACCCCTATTCCCAGGCTCTTGACACCCAAGACAGTGGGAGGCAGGGACAGGGGAAGCTGGTTCTGGCAAAATCTCATGAAGGGGTCAGTGCCACTAGGCGCACCCCATTGAGGGATCATGGGGCACTCATGTCCTTGACTTTACCCTTTCCTAGGTACGCGAGCGGGACCTGCCCTTCGTCACCCACACCTTGTCGTCAGAGTTCACCATCCTGCGGGTTGTCAATGGGGAGACAGTGGCAGCTGAGAACCTTGGCATCACCAATGGCTTTGTGAAGCCCAAGATGGGTGAGTTGGGGGATCTGTGCAGGGGAGATGTCAAGAAATTTTCAGGTCCTAACGACTCAGGGCAGCCCCATTCTCAGAGCACTAGTTGATAATTGTTATATGCATTCTCAGGCATATCACAGTGCAACAGCCTTGGTCAGACCCTGCTACCAAGGCCCAGCCAGAGGCCACTCCTGACCGCACCCAGGGCATTAGGCAGGCCTCCCAGAGGCAGTGACTCTGGATCTGAAATTTGGAGCTTAACCAGGCAGTGAAGATGGAGAGGGCATTCCAAGCCGGTGGCACAGCATGTTCAAAGCCCCAGGGGTCTTGGTGGGGGGTGAGCCTGGAAAATCAGGTGAGCTGTAGGTGGTTATAAAGGCTGGAGAAGCAGCATGGGCCAGCTCTCACAGGGCCTGTGGCCAGGCCTCCCCAGGGCAGTGGCCGGCTAACCCCAACCCTCTTCCTGGGCCCGCCACCTGCCCCACCTGCTGGTCCACCAGCCTCAGCACCTGTTATCTTCGCTCTCTCACAGTCCAGAGGCCTGTCATCCACCCGCTGTCCAGCCCGAGCAACAGGTTCTGTGTCACCAGCCTGGACCCAGACACACTGCCTGCTGTAGCCACACTCCTTATGGATGTCATGTTCTACTCTAACGGGTAGGGCCCCACAGGGGTGAGGGGCTGAAGGGAGGGCTGAGGGGAGACATGGTTCTGCCTAGAGACCCGGCTAAGGGGGTGACTCTGACCTGCCCTGGGAGCTAGTCTGAGGGAGGAAGACATGGTTTCAGCCAAAAGCCCCATTATGAGAGGGAAGTCATCCTTCCTTGGGAACCCCAAAACTTAAGGAAGCCCTAGATGCACATGTAGATTTAATAAGTACCCCCCTGCCCCCTGGGCTTCCAGGTTAAGCCTGGTTACTGAGGAGCCAGGAACTCAGGTTATTTCATTCAGTGAACGACAGACTTCCCATTTGTCCTCAGAGCAGATTTTGAGTTTAAGCCCACACCGGGGAGAGTGGGACCACAGGCCAGAGAGCTGGCTGCAACCGCACTGTGTCCTGAGATGTGGGCCGACACAGGGACAGAGAAAGCCTGCCCATGAAGGGACAGGTGCAGCCACACTGAGGGCCGGCTGGGTCTCCGGCACTGTGAAGTGCGGTGCACACCTCTGAATGCTGTGGAATCCTCTACATCTCACAAATGGGAGACTGAGGGGACAGTACCTCAGGGTCACCCAGCAAGGTGGGATTAGAGCCAGGACTAGGCCCTGGCTCTCCCAGGCCAGTGCTGTTCCCAGCGCCTCCTGCTGAGGCCAGTGGGCAGGGCAGGCGGGGTGGGGCGGGAGCCCCACTCCACCCTTCACCAGCTCTCCTGGCCTTCAGGGTGAAGGACCCCATGGCTGCCGGCGATGACTGTGGCCACATCCGCTTCTTCTCCTTCTCCCTCATTGAGGGCTACATCTCCCTGGTGATGGACGTGCAGACCCAGCAGAGGTGAGCTGGCCCTGGGGTGTGGGCTTGGTCTGGGGATGCTGGGCTCCACAGTGGGCACAGCACCCCCTTTGCCCCTAATAAGTCCCCACCACAGCCCTGTACCACAGGTGAGCCAGCCCCATCTTACAGAAGGTGGGAAGCTCAGACACAAAGGCAGGGTCAGTCCCCTCTCTGGAGCTGGGGCAGGCCATCCTGAACAGCATTAGGAAAGGGGCAGTTGTTCCAAAGCCCAGTCGCAGCCTCACCTTCCTGTCCTCTGCCTCCCAGATGAGGAGGGTGCAGAGAGGGTGAATCAGAGTTCGGGAGGGGCCCTTGGGGCCCCTGAGTCCAACCTAGCCCACGGCAGGTGACTGCTTCTCATTCTGGTCCTGCATCAGCATCTCGAGGGCAGGAAGGTTCCACAGAGGTCTGGCCAAGGGAGCACAGTCAACATCAGCCTGCTGCATTTTTCTCTCTCTCCCTTTCCAGGTTTCCTAGTAATCTGTTGTTCACAAGTGCTTCTGGAGAGCTGTGGAAGATGGTGCGGATTGGAGGACAGCCCTTGGGATTTGGTAAGCCCCGTGGGGTTCAGCTCGGGGGCGCTGGGGGGCTAGCGCTGCCCCGTGCCTCTGAGCACCAGGACACTCACACACAGCCCATGCATTGTATCCCTGGGGGCCCTGCTCCTGGGACAGGACATGGAGGCAGCCAGGCATGTTGACATGGGGACAAGCAGTCGGTGAGGGAACCCAGTTCTGCCACCTGCCTGTACCTTTCTCTGGGTGAGCTTGCAGCTGGACAGTAACTAGCAGGACTGAGCAGTGTTCCAGCTCTGCTCACTTCAAGGCTAAAGCCAGAGCCATCCTGGGGGCAGGATCGTAGGCTGCTCTCGGGAGTGCTGGGAAGTGTATGCTGAAGGCTTCTAGTGTGGCCCTGGGGCCTAGCCTGTCTCTCAGTGCCTCCTCCTCCATGGACCCCAGCATTTCTCCCTCTGGTACCCAGTGCCGGGTCATGGGGAGGTGGAGACTCAGTAGCCTGTAGGAACACAGCAGTGAATGAGGCCAGAGAAAACCAGTGTGACCCCAGACAGGCTGCTTAACCTCCAAGCCTCTGTTCCCTGAGCTATAAAACAAGGATGATGGTAGGTCCTGCCTCGGTGGTCTGAGCACTCCAGGAAGTGTCAGCAAGCAGTAGTAAGGACCGGGTGGCTTGAGAAGGTTCAGGAAGGGAAATCTACTCCAAAGCTTACCAGCTTGTGGATATTCACCCAGATGATGGGGAGGATCAGGCAGTACCAGCAGGAGGGAGGTGTGGGAGAGCAGCGCCCCTCCCAGGCCAGACCAAGGGTTCTGTCACCATTTCTGCCTGAAGGTAGAGGGGACCAGCAGAGCTTCAGCAGCAAGGGGAGCAGCCAGGAGCCACTGGGAGGAGACCCAGGCAAGCGGCAGGTAGACATGTGTACCTGCTTATCTTTTTATCCCCAGCTTGGCTTGTAAGTTTACCAACATACACTCAGGATAAAGTTACAAAAAAAAGAAAGGATGGAAGGGAAATAAAGGCAGGGTGGCTAGATGAAACTTGAGTGGCCTGTCTCTGCACATCCCTGTGAGGCTGTTTGGTTTGAGTGGCCTCATGGGTGGGTGACAAGGCAAATGAGTGGGTGAGAGCTAGTGTCCGCCTGGCAGGCAACAGCTGGATCTGCCTTCCCCAGATGCTGAGGTTGTAGAGCCATGCTTAGAGCTGTACATAGCCCTGCAAGAAAATTAACATATGGCGAATCTGAAAGATTTGAGGCCAGCAGATTCTATGTGTTGTTTTGACTATAGTTTGGAGTAAATACATTTTACACTGTAACCCCACGCACACAGATGCAACTCCAACTGTGGTTTCTTCACAGCCCACACTCACTCTCACTGTATGTTTGACCTTTCCTTTTCCATTGTGTCATTTTTTGAGATGCTGGTCACCAGCCTTCTAAACTGATGTCACAAATGGGACACAGCTCACAGGCACCATTCCAGACCCTAATCTCCCACCACCACCACCCTTTTTTTTTTTTGGTATCAGTAATCTACAATTACATGAGCAACACTGTGGTTACTAGACTCCCCCCATCATCAAGTCCCCACCACAACCCCATTACAGTCACTGTCCAACAACATAGTAAGATGCTATAGAGTCACTACTTGTCTTCTCTATGTTGTACAGCCCTCCCCGTGCACCCCTCCTACATTATTTGTGCTGATCATAATGCCGCCTTTTTTCCCCTTGACCCTCCCTTCCAGTCCCTTTCCTTTGGTAACTGTCAGTCCATTCTTGGGTTCTGTGAGTCTGCTGCTGTTTTGTTCCTTCAGTTTTTTTTTTTTGTTCTTATACTCCACATATGAGTGAAATCATTTGGTACTTGTCTTTTTCTGCCTGGCTTATTTCACTGAGCATAATACCCTCTAGCTCCATCCATGTTGTTGCAAATGGTAGGATTTGTTTTCTTATGGCTGAATATTATTCCATTGTGTATATGTACCACATCTTCTTTATCCATTCATCTACTGATGGACACTTAGGTTGCTTCCATTTCTTGGCTTTTGTAAATAGTGCTGCAATAAACATAGGGGTGCCTATGTCTTTCTCAAACTGGACTGCTGCATTCTTAGGGTAAATTCCTAGAAGTGGAATTCCTGGGTCAAATGGTATTTCTATTTTTAGTTTTTTGAGGGACCTACATACTGCTTTCCACAATGGTTTGAACTAATTTACATTCCCACCAGCAGTGTAGGAGGGTTCCCCTTTCTCCACATCCTCGCCAACATTTGTTGTTGTTTGTCTTTTGGATGTTGGCCATCCTAACTGGTGTGAGGTGATATCTTATTGTGGTTTTAATTTGCATTTCTCTGATGATTAACAATGTGGAGCATCTCCTCATGTGCCTGTTGGCCATCTGAATTTCTTCTTTGGAGAAATGTCTTTTCAGATCCTCTGCCCATTTTTTAATTGAATTATTTGCTTTTTTTTTGTTGAGGTGCATGAGCTCTTTATATAACTTAGATGTCAACCCTTTATCGGATCTGTCATTTATGAATATATTCTCCCATACTGTAGGATGCCTTTTTGTTCTATTGATGGTGACCTTTGCTGTACAGAACTTTTCAGCTTGATATAGTCCCACTTGTTCATTTTTGCTTTTGTTTCCCTTCCCCGTGGAGATATGTTCATGAAGAAATTGCTTATGTTTATGTCCAAGAGATTTTTGCCTATGGTTTCATGAGTTACATTCAGGTCTTTGATCCATTTTGAATTTACTTTTGTGTATGGGGTTAGACAGTGACCCAGTTTCATTCTCTTGCATGTCCAGTTTTGCCAACAGCAGCTGTTGAAAAGGCTGTCATTTCCCCATTGTATGTCCATGGCTCCTTTATTGTATATTAATTGACCGTATATGTTTGGGTTAATATCTGGACTCTCTATTCTGTTCCACTGGTCTGTGGGTCTGTTCTTGTGCCAGTACCAAACAGTCTTGATTACTGTGGCTTTGTAGAGCTTGAAGTTGGGGAGCGAGATACCCCCTGCTTTGTTCTTCCTTCTCAGTATTGATTTGGTTATTCAGGGTCTTTTGTGGTTCCATATGAATTTTAAAACTATTTCCAGTTCATTGAAGAATGCTGTTAGTATTTTGATAGGGTTTGCATTGAATCTGTAGATTGCTTTAGGCAGGATGGCCATTTTGATTATATTAATTCTTCCTAGCCAAGAGCATGGGATGAATTTCCATTTGTTAGTGTCATCTTTAATTTTTCTTAGGAGTGTCTTGTATTTTTCAAGGTATAGGTCTTTCACTTCCTTGGTTAGGTTTATTCCTAGGTATTTTATTATTTTTGATGCAATTGTGAATGGAATTGTTTTCCTGATTTCTCTTTCTGCTAGTTCATCATTAGTGTATAGGAAAGCAACTGATTTTTGTGTATTTGTATCCTTCAACTTTGCTGAATTCCGATATTAGTTCTAGTAGTTTTGGAGTGGAGTCTTTAGGGTTTTTTATGTACAATATCATACCAACTGCAAATAGTGACAGTTTGACAACTTCTTTACCAATCTGGATGTCTTGTATTTCTCTGTTTTGTCTAATTGCTGTGGCTAGGACCTCCAGTACTATGTTGAATAACAGTGCGGAGAGTGGGCATCCCTATCTTGTTCCTGATCTTAGAGGAAAAGCTTTCAGCTTCTCACTGTTAAGTATGATGTTGGCTGTGGGTTTGTCATATATGTCCTTTATTATGTTGAGGTACTTGCACTCTGTAACCATTTTGTTGAGAGTTTTTATCATGAATGGATGTTGAATTTTGTCAAATGCTTTTTCAGCATCTATGGAAATGATCGTGTGGTTTAGTCCTTCTTTTTTTGTTGATGTGGTGGATGATGTTGATGAATTTTCGAATGTTGTACCATCCCTGCACCCCTGAGATGAATCCCACTTGATCATGGTGTATGATCCTCTTGATGTATTTTTGAATTGAGTTTGCTGATATTTCGTTGAGTATTTTTGCATCTGTGTTCATCAGGGATATTGGTCTGTCCTTTTCTTTTTTGGTGGGGTCTTTGCCTGATTTTGGTATTAGAGTGATGCTGGCTTCATAGAATGTGTTTGGAAGTATTCCCTCCTCTTCTATTTTTTGGAAAACTTTGAGGAGAATGGATATTATGTCTTCTCTATATGTCTGATAAAATTCAGCAGTGAATCCATCTGGTCTGGGAGGTTTGTTCATGGGTAGTTTTTTGATTACTGCTTCAATTTCATTGCTGGTAATTGGTCTGTTTAGATTATCTGTTTCTTCCTTGGTCAGTCTTGGAAGGCTGTATTTTTCTAGGAAGTTGTCCATTTCTTCTAGGTTTTCTAGCTTGTTAGCATATAGATTCTCACAGTATTCTCTAATGATTCTTTGTATTTCTGTGGGGTCCGTCATGATTTTTCCTTTCTCATTTCTGATCCTGTTTATGTGTGTGGATTCTCTTTTTCCCTTAATAAGTCTGGCCGGGGGGTTATCTGTTTTGTTTATTTTCTCAAAGAACTAGCTCTTGGTTTCATTAATTTTTTTCTGTTGTTTTATTCTTCTTAATTTTATTTCTTCTCTGATCTTTATTATGTCCCTCCTGCTGACTTTGGGCCTCATTTGTTCTTCTTTTTCCAATTTCAATAATTGTGACTTTAGACTGTTCATTTGGGATTGTTCTTCCTTCTTTAAATAGGCCTGGACTGCAATATACTTTCCTCTTAGAACTGCCTTCACTGTGTCCCACACAAGGAGCTTTGTGCTTTTGTTGTCATTTGTCTCCATATATTGTTTGATCTCTGTTTTAATTTGGTCATTGATTGATTGATTATTCAGGAGCATGTTGTTAAGCCTCCATGTATTTGTGAGCCTTTTTGTTTTCTTTGTACAATTTATTTCTAGTTTTATACCTTTGTGATCTGAAAAGTTGGTTGGTAGACTTTTAATCTTTTTGAATATTCTGAGGCTGTTTTTGTGGCCTGGTATGTGGTCTATTCTGGAAAATGTTCCATGTGCACTTGAGAAGAATGTGTATCCTGCTGCTTTTGGGTGTAGAGTTCTATAGATGTCTGTTAGGTCCATCTGTTCTAGGTGTTGTTCAGTGCCTCTGTGTCCTTACTTTCTGTCTGGTGGATCTGTCCTTTAGAGTGAGTGGTGTGTTAAAGTCTCCTAAAATGAATACATTGCATTCTATTTCCTCCTTCAATTCTGTTAGTATTTGTTTCACATATGTTGGTGCTCCTGTATTGGGTACATATATATTGATAATGGTTATATCCTTTTGTTGGACTGACCCCTTTATCACTATGTAATGTCCTTCTTTATCTCTTGTTACTTTTTTTGTTTTAAAATCTATTTTGACTGATACTAGTACCACAACACCTGCTTTTTTCTCCCTGTTATTTGCTTGAAATATCTTTCTCCATCCCTTCACTTTTAGTCTGTGTATATCTTTGGGTTTGAGGTGAATCTCTTGTAAGCAACATATAGATGGGTCTTGCTTTTTTATCCGTTCATTCTATTTGTGTCTTTTGATTGGTGCCTTCAGTCCATTTACATTTAGGGTGATTATCGATAGATATATACTTATTGCCATGGCAGGCTTTCGATTGTGGACACCAAAGGTTCAAAGGTAGCTTCTTTACTATCTAACCATCTAACTTAACTCTGTTGTTAACCTATTATAAGCACAGTCTGATGATCCTTTATTTCTCTCCCTTCTTATTCTTCCTTCTGCATTCTTTATATGTTAGGTGTTTTATTCTGTACTCTTTTGTGTTTCCTTTGACTGCTTTTGTGGATAGTTGATTTTATTTTTTACCTTTAGTTAGTATTTGGTTGGTCTGCTTTCTTTGCTGTGATTTTATTTTCTCTGGTGACATCTATTTAGCTTTAGGAGTCCTTCCATCTAGAGCAGTCCCTTTAAAATACCCTGTAGAAGTGGTTTGTGGGAGGCAAATTCCCTCGACTTTTGCTTGTCTGGGAATTGTTTAATCCCTCCTCATATTTAAATGATAATCATGCTGGATACAGTAATCTTGGTTCAAGGCCCTTCTGTTTCATTGCATTAAATGTATCATGCCATTCTCTTCTGGCCTGTAAGGTTTCTGTTGAGATGTCTGATGATAGCCTGATGGGTTTTCCTTTGTAGGTGACCTTTTTTCTCTCTCTGGCTGCCTTTAATACTCTGTCCTTGTCTTTGATCTTTGCCATTTTAATTATTATATGTCTTGGTGTTGTCCTCCTTCTGTCCCTTATGTTGGGAGATCTGTGGGCTTCCAAGGTCTGAGAGACTATTTCCTTTCCCCGCTTGGGGAAGTTTTCAGCAATTATTTCTCCAAAGAAATTTTCTATCCCCTTTTTTCTCTCTTTTTCTTCTGGTACCCCTATAATGCAAATACTGTTCTGTTTGGATTGGTAACACAGTTCTCTTAATATTCTTTCACCACCCCTTTTTATAAGAATAATTGTGTCTGTAGCTAAAGGATCTTAGGACACAGCTATTCTCCACCATGTAACAGCACAGTCACCAGATGTGTAGGCACAAGGCCTGCACAGCCACCAAAGTGGTCTGCGGGGCCACCCAGGAGCCACAGCCGACCAAGTGGAAAGCAGGAGACCTGCTTCAAGAGGCCTTTAGGTTCACTGCACAGGCCCAGAGCAGGGCTTACAGGGCTGGGGAGTGAAGAGGCAGGTGAGATACCAGTGGGGTTGACTCCTAGGCTCTGGCCTCTGAAACCTGTGGGGAGCTGGTAACCAGATCTGGACTCTCTACCCGAGTTGGAGACATCATTGGGGAAATGCATCATCACTAAAATCAGAACAAAAGCCTTGAGAGAAATAACCCAGTAGCTTTGAGAGGATTGTATTGGTGGGGAAGAGTGGTCCTCAGATCCTGGAAGTCTTCCTGTATGAGGATGCCTTGCGTGTGCCTCCAAATCAGGGAGGAAGCTGGCAGTGAGAGGAGGACCAGCCCCAGGCAACTCCAAGGCAGCCTTATTTTATTGGCTGAGGTTTGGGGAGGCCAGAAAGCACCTGTCTTGAGATGTCTAGAGGTAGAAGGAAATCATGGTCCAGCCCCAGCCAAGTGCCTGATGCTGCCTTTAGGATGGGCAGGGCCGTTTCCCAGTGAGGACTCCACTGAGCAAATGGAGAAGTGACTTGACCACAGTCATCTGGCTAGCAAGGAGTCAGAGTCCACCAGAAAGGGCTTGGGCCTGTGTCCTCCCAGTGGCCATGCTGCCTCCAGCTCTGCCTTAGGGAACTCACCAAGCAGCAGGGAGGACGAATCGAGACTCTGAGGCTTAGAAACAGGCAGGGCTGGACCTGTTCTGTGGAGCCCTGAGGGTGGAGAGCTCACTGCTGGCCAAAGGGACTAGAGAAGGCTTCTGGATGGACAGGCCTTCACACTAAGGCTTCGGTGGGGTGGGAACTCTGGAAGATTGTGGGTGCAGGACGGGCACTGCCAGCAGAGGGAGAAGGAGATCTGAGGGGGCGCTGGCTGGCACCCTGGGTAGAGAGGCCACGGGGAGGCTGAATGCAGTCCCACCTCTGCCCCCAGATGAATGCGGCATTGTGGCACAGATCTCCGAGCCTTTGGCCGCTGCAGACATCCCCGCCTACTACATCAGTACTTTCAAGTTCGACCACGCACTGGTGAGTGTCCAGCACCGACCTCTACCCTGGGACAAGGGGAGCCAGTCCCAGGGCTCACAGCTCTTTGCCTCCTCCTGCCCCTTGCAGGTACCAGAAGAAAACATCACTGGCGTCATCAGCACCCTGAAAGTCAGCCAAGCAGAAAAGCATTAGGAGGGCCTCTTCCACTCCCCCAGCCCACCCACCAGGCCTGGGGTCCAGCCCCACCCTGAAGATTCTTATCGCAGTATTTCTCACAGACTGGAAAATCGGCCCTGGGGCCCCCAAAGAAGGGCCCTCTGGGAGTCGCCCCCAATTGCGGACCCTGCCAGGTCTAGGGCCGAAGCCAAGGCCTCTCTCCATGTCCCCTGCCTTCCTGGACCCCCAGACCCTCCAGAGAACCCCCACCTCCTGGCTCCACAGCTACCCCAGAAGATGGCTGAGGCCCAGAGAGCTTGTGAACTGACCCACCTTCACATCCCTCCTTGCGCACAGCAGGGGGCAGGTGCAGAAGGAAGCCGGCACCTCCTACAGGACACTGAGGTTCTGGTTCTCAGGTCATCTTAGGGGGCTGGCCGAGCAGGGCTGAGCTCATGGTTCCCCAGGAGGCCCCCTGGGGGCAGGGGCTGGATACTGCAGTTGCTGGCCTTGGTCCATCAACTCTGGGCTGGTTCCTACAGAGTGGAGGCCAGTGGGGGCCCTTGGCTCATGTGCTGGTGAGGTTCCCACCAGCATAGGTGGGGCTGGGAGCTGGGGAGGACCTGTGCCACCCAGAACCTCACCTGCCAACCACAGGGCCTGCGCCCTGACTCCCAGCAAGACTGCCAAGGTGCCCTGTCCAGACCCTCCCCAGTACAAGCACTCCTGGGTAGGGATTCCCAGGACACCCACCAGCCTGGGGCACAAGCTGTCCCTTCTGCTTTCCCTGGACCCTACTCGGGCAGGTGGAGCCTTGGTTTCCCCCAAGTGGGAATATCCCCAGCATTCTGGGCCTGGGGTTTCTTAGGTCCCCCCACCTCCCCAGCAGTTGACTAGACCAGCACAGGGCTCCCCTGTTGTCCTGTCCCCTTCCCCTGCCCCACCTGTAGGGGATGTGGAAGGCCTCTGCCCCCAACTCACCTGTCCGCCCGCCCCTCCTTCTGGGGACTGTGGCAATCATGAGTACTTGACCTGGGAGGCAGCTTATCTGAGCCTTAATAGAGAAAAGCGTACCTTGTTTTACTTTCTTATTTAATGTATTTGCGCCCAGGCTGCAACTGGCAGCAGTTTCAGGGGAGGGGGCCTACTGAGTCCTCTGGGGCAAGCTTCAGATTTGGGAGTGGTTACAAGATGGGTCCCCAGGCACCCCACACAGCACCTGTCAGCATCAAAGGGGACTCAAGGGCCAGAGGAAGGTGGAGGGCCAGGAGGCAGCGTCTTGTCATCCTGGCAGCTGACAAGGAAGAATGGTCCCCTTCATCTGGGGGTGCTTTCTGAGTGGGCAGGACCCAAAGGGACCACTATGGCTCATGCCCTCCCTGGTGCTCTCAGGCAGCTGCTGACTTGTGCTGTCCCCGAGGAGCTCAGAGGAGCAGGGATGTTCTTTGGTGAAGGGCTTGCAGGGGCTCCACTCTCCCCTTCTCTGAGCTGTGAGGGGCCCTCTGAGCCCTGGAAGCCCACCAGATGGAAGAGCCTTGCAGATGCTCAGGACCCAAGTACTGATTAGGACCCACTTTTTTTTTTTTAATTCACTTTGCGCAAAATTCCAAAACAACCAAAACGTATGAATTGTTTGCTGGTTCCAAAATGAGGGTGGCTGAGCAGGCAGGGCAACACTTGAAGCCAAGTCCCCCTTCTGTCCTTGGAAGGCCTTGATTTAACGGGCGCGCCTATCCGGACTCCTTCCCGTCATCCCCCTAATTGTGTCATTTTGCCTTTCCTCCCAGCCGAGCAAGTGTGTCGGCCCCATGACCCCAGAAACATGTGCTACCCAGACCCCCTAGGACCTATCTATTGTACACACATATAAATACCTGTGTTTTATGTTGATATAGATATATACTGTAAATAGCATATATACTTGAGCAATATATATGTTAATATATACTGTGTGAGTGCACGCACGCGTTTATGCGTGCAGTTCGTGGACACAGCCCCCACTGTGTGTGCGTGTGTGAGGGCTTCTGCCCTGCTGTGTCTGCCGTGCACACAGGCACGTTTTGAGCCACCATATATTTTTAATTCAAGTATATAGGCAATACAATTACTCAATTTGAGAAGCCGGCTGATTGCCTCAGCCCTGACTTGAAAGAAAAACAAAACCAGCAGCCCAGGAGCTGAGCCCCGAGGCAGGTGTCCAGAGGCCCTACCTGCTCCTCCCCCAGGCTTCCTTGAAAGCTGGATTCTGCCCCTTCCTGCACCCCATTTCAGTGGTCAAGGCCCCAGACACCACTGTTTTATTTGGGGGACGGTGGTACAGAGGACAGAGCAGTTAGGATTTCTTTCTTTGGAGCAGAACAGCTCCCCACCTAGTGCTCCCAACCTGAAGGCCTGGGCTGACAGGCAGTCCCGCTCGGGCCTTGCTTCCAGGCCCTCTGCCCACTTTGCATGGCTGTTTCCATGCTGACCCCCGACCCGTTCATTTTCATCTGCAAGCTTAGAAACTTGAGGTTCCTCTCCCAGGTCCCCTGGGCACCAGCCCCATCTGGCCAAGGAAGGGATGTATGCCCTTGTTGTGTCTGGGAGGTGGGACCAGTCTTGGCTGTCCAGCCTTGCTACATAGCGGGAGCCGCCACTCAGAAAGCTCTGCCTTTACTCTGCTGTGTGGAGAGGCTGGTGTGTCCTCTGGGTTCTGGGCCTGGGAGCAGCACCATCAGTATCTGGGTCTCCACAGCGATTTGGGGATAAGAATGAGTGGGCTTCCGGGGGCCAGATGCTGGGTGCAGGGGTCTCTAGCCCCACCAGAGAGGCTGCCTGAGGCATGTGCCCTGTCAAGGCTGAGGGTCTCAGCTCTGGCCCGTGGGGCATGGGACCAGGAAACAGTGGGGTCCCCATGGAAGGCTGCCAGGAGGCTGTGAGCAGGCGGCCCCAGAGCCACCATCTGGGCTCCAGGTATGACTGCCTCTGTGCCACTCCTGGCAAGAAAAGCTCAAACCGTATAAATGCTGTCCTCGCCCTTCTCCCCTCTCCTGCCCCATCCCTGTAGCTAGAGTGGTAAGACCTCAAGGGGCAGTGACAGGCATCACTCCCGATTGGCCTCTAGCTCAGCCCTCAGCCTGGGGCTCCCCTGCGTCCCTCAGCCCCGTCCTGACCCAGCAGAGACGGGCAGTGCCAGCTGTTCACCTCCTTCCTCCATGGGGGTCTCCAAGGCCCCCCACGAGGCACTGCCCACACCACTACCCTCAGCCCAGGGCATGCATCTTGGCTGGAGAGGTGTGCAGACCTCCCTCCCCTCCCCGAGATTCAGGGGGTCAGGGCCCCCAAGCACCAGCAATCTCCCCTTCCCACCAGCTCCAGGCCAGAGGCCCCTGGTGGGAGGGGAGGGAGCCAGGTGACCCAGAGCTGGTCCCTCAGACAGCATGGCTTCAGTGGCCAGAGTGGTGTCCAGAATATGCATGGTATGGTGGGGCTTGTCCCCTCTGAGGTGACAGGATGCCACGGAGGTCAGGAGAGAAGGCTCTGTGATGGGAAAGCCAGACGCCCACCCCAAGCCAAGGGTCCCATTTCCCCCATAATCAGGGATGAACCTGCCCACCCACCACCAACCTCTCCTGGCCAGATGTCCAGGCAGACCTTTTATTAGAGTCCCAAAGCTCCCTGGGCCACATTTCTGAGCCTCTGGATCCAGACATGGGGACAATGAGGGCCCTTCTAGCCCCAGCTAAGAGGGGCTTTACGGGTCTACCAGGGGACAGCAGAGCACTCCAGCCCTGTGACTGAGGAATTTTTTATGCCACTTCCTGCATGAACTCTGGGGAGCAGGAAGAAGATACTGCCCACTGTGAACCAGGCCTGGGGGGCGGCCAGACACTGCCGTCAGCCACCAAGAGTGGAGTTGAGGATTGGCTTCAGGGGGAGGATGAGCGTCCTGGTGGTGGATTTCCCAGATACCTGTGCTCTCCGTTCAGAGGCTGCCTGGGAGGGGAGCCAGCCGGGGCGATGGAGGGTGAACGGCCCAGCAGAGGGCAGGCCTGGATTGTCTGAGGGGAGATGAGCCCCCAGTACAGCTGGAGACCTTTTCCTACTTCTGAGCTCCTCCCTGCTTTTTTTGTTTCATTTCCAAATTAGAGGCAGTAAAGGCCAAGTTTAATTGTCTCACACCCTTACCGTGGACATGGGAGAAAGTGCGGGGTGGGCTGTGGCCTCAGCCTTGATGTCCACGCTGTCCGATGAAGCCTGCGCTCAGGAAGGTAAGGGCCAGGGCTGTTGGCTGAGGCAGCCTGCCATCCCGGGGGCTGACGGCACCAGGAGCAGCCCGGAGCAGGGGTAGGAGCCTGTGGCCTGCACAGCCTGGTGGTGAGAGGATGTGTGGCTCTTGGCTGTAGGAACAGGAGGCTGTGAGCAGTAGTGCGGGGCCTCCTCTGCCCTGGGTTCATGACAGTGTTCTGTGCGTGGCCACACGTGTGTTTCTACATAGGTCAGTGTGAGCACATGCTGTATGCATACCCATTAGTGTGTGTGCAAGCACAGGTGTGCAGAGCCCGAATCCAAGCTAAGGGACACTCAGTATTTTGAGGCCTCAGCAGCCTTCGTATCAGTAGGCCACGTTACACTTGACTCTTGAAATTCAGTGGAGAGGGGCAGAATCGTCCCAGCAGGAAGGGCCCTGCTCTGCTCGGGGGAGGCCTGGCAGTCCGCGCAGCCAGCCCAAAGGGGCTAGACCTGCCGAGTCGACTCAGAAGCACCCAGTCCTGAAGACAGTATTCCCAAGGAGAGGTTACTACTGTCCACTGCCTCAGTTTACTTATTCAGAAAATGGTCCAGAAGGAACTGAGCAGGATTCACTCCAAAATTCGGGGGATGGGGGCTTAACAACAAACAAGATCCCAAGCCCTCCTCTTGCTCTACGCCAAAATCATTTCTGTTATTGTGAGACGGGGTTGAGTGGATGTTGGCTACTCAGTGGGGCTCTAAGGGATCCCCATCCTGGGCAAGGACTTGTCTTGGGGGGTCTGGCCCTCACCGGGCATGCCTCGAGTCACCCGCAGGAGCAGTGGTACTTACACCTGTCCCTAGGTCCGGGTGAGGGGACGGCTGGGCAGCCCCACACGCCAGGGCTCTCACGCTTACTTTCTTTATTGAAGAAACAAAAAAAAACCCTCGAGACTCATGTACTGTATGATGGAAGAAAAAAGTACCTAATGTTCCCCCAAAAAAGACAGTATATTTTGTACTTTGTAAAGTGTTAATTAAAATGGAGGAAAAAAAATGATGTTGGCTGACGGCTGTCTGGTTTGTGCTGTTCCAGGGCCACATCGCATCTCTTCCCCGTCCTGTGGTCAGGGGACAGGCCAGTGGCTGGGAGGAACCAGAGCACGCCTCCAAGTCCAATACCCAGGAGGAGAGAGGAAGCACCCCCAGCCCCCAAGTGAGGGGCTGTGTTAGCTACCCGAGGCCCCAGAATGTAATGGCTTATAATGAGGATGCGCCACGGTCTCTGGGGGTCAGGGGGTTTGGGGGAGTTTGAGTAGTTTGGTCTCGAGTTCCTCCAGAGGCTGCAGTCATCTGAAGTCTTGGTGGATCCACTTCTGGGGCCTTTTATTCACCCTGGAGGTTGGGCCTGGCTGGCAGGAAGCCTGTGCCTCTCTGCATGGCCTCCTCACAGTGTGGTGCCTGCCTTCCCCCATAACAAGGGACTTGGGGGCCAAGGGAGAAGCCAAATGTGTTGTGCTGGCCTCAGAGGGCACACTCCGTCACTTCTCCCATACTCTTCTCATACAGCCCAGCTCTGATTTGACCCAGAGAAAACCACATGAGGGGGTGAAAACCAAGAGGTCAAGGTGGCTGGAAACTGGCTACGACCCCACTGTGCCTCCCCAGACCTCTGGGAGAGGCAGGCCTGGGGGCTGGGGGACCCGTGGAGCAGGACAGGGCCTTGCTGGTGGCAGGGGGAGAATCGGGGCTGGATCCCTGGCCACAGGACCTCTTCCCCAAGCCCAGAGCCCTTCTGCAGACGCCACACCCCCAGGAAGGGCTCCTCAGTGCTAGAAGCCCAGGAGCTGATGTCTCCAGATACCCTGGGGACAGGCGGGAGGGCACCATGCCCAGAGCCCCTCCCACAGCGCCCTGGCATTTGGCTCCTGCCCTCTTGGCAGGTGGGCACTGGGGCTGTCCAGGCAACAAAAAGGTCCTGGGCCTTGGACACCCTTCACCCTGCCCCTTTCTGGTACTTTCCTTGGAAGGCAGGGCTGAGTGCTGTCCCTGCACCTGACCACCGCTGTTCGGCCAGAAAAGCAACCCTGGAGATGGAGGGAGTGGAAAGGGGCTGAAGCGTTCTCTCACCACCCTGGGCCCAGGAAAGTTCTGGCTGCTGTGAAGCCTTTCCTTTCTGGGGTCTGCAGGCTGAGGGCCCCCTGGGTGTTTCAGATACCTCAGTGGCAGCCAGGACCCCCACTGGGACTCTTGATTGTCCCCAAAACTCTTTAATAGTCACCAAGTCCTCCAGTGCCTGACCTCCCTTTCCACTGCTCATTCATGTTCACTGCCACTCGGGCGGTGCCAGACCTTGTGCCAGTGCTGGGGACTCAGGAGAATCGGCCTCTGCCCCTCCCCTGAGTTAAGATGAAGGTGTAAAGACAGGGAAACAAGCTATTCCAGGGCATGCAGTACCAGGATGGACCACAAGGGGACGCTGTGCCCTGGGGCCAGAGAATGACTACAGCAGGGGAAGACCAAGAAGCCAGGGTTGGGCCTGGTAAGCCGGGGACCCAAACAAAGGGAACAGCAAAGGCACAGAGTACCTAGAGGGAACTGTAGCTGGAATAGAGCAGTGGAATGGGAGAGGGAGGAAATGGATGGGACTGGTAGAGGAGGCAGAAATGAAAGGTGGGTGCTCAGGTGGGCCAGGGGCCCCACACTCTCCTACAGGCCCTGGGGAGCCCCTGAACACATTGACCCAGGATAGCAAACTGCATCTGAATGGTGGGTCTGGGTTGCTGAATGTGGCTGGTGGAACAAGGGAAAGTGGAATGGCTGAGGCCAGGTTCCTGGCGTCAGTTCTCAGGAGTGATGACCCTGGCTGGCTCAAGGCCTTGCTGGAGCAAAGTCAGGGGTGGGGGGCAGTTATGGGTGTAGAGAGCTGGCTGACATCCTCAGAATGTGTCCCAGTGCCTCTGCAGCCAGGGCATAATTCCTCCTGGGAGCAGCTTTGGCTGCATTTCGGCAGAGGTCTCACCCCAGCACAGGAGAATCGCCTGCAGACTCTGGCCTGCAGAGTCTGAGTCAAGTCCTCTTGGCTTCACAGTAGTTCTAAAAGCTCCCTGAGCTGCTCTGAAAAAGTAACAGGAAGCACGCAAGGCCTCAGGAGGAAAGAGCATGCCTGTAGTTGCCTTACCTGCCCTGGCTTTTCTGAGTCAACCAGCAGGGGAGAGGCCCCAGGGCAAACACAAGCTCTCCAAAGGGGCACATGGGATGGGACAGTGGTGATGGCCGCACCGCACAGACGGTGTGCTAAAACCACTTAATTGTACACTCTAAAATGGTTTTTGTGACTCACACCGCAGGTTTTTACAAAAATGGTTGTGACAGGAAGAGTAACAGGCGTGGACGCATGGGTGAAGGCCAGCCAGAAGAAGGCGAGTTAATCTGACAGCTCTTGGTGGTTAAAGCAAGGGTAGGGTAGCAGAGAGAAGGAAGAGGACAGGGGGAAGGGCACGGGGTGCCTACCTCGCAAAGGCTAGTAGTGGAGCATCTCATTCGAGATGGTTTTCCAAGGACCATCTCCCCAGGCTGAGCCAGTGGGAGTTCTGGCAGCCGCAGTGAGGCCCGTGGCCCATCTGCACACTGCTGAGCACTGGGCACGGAGGGAGGCCCGCTGTTGAGGCAGAACTGGGGAGAAGCAGGCAGAGAGCCTCTAAAGGGCCTTAATATTTATTTATTCAGGGAAATAAATATCCTGTGTCTTGGAACTCAAGATTACAGAGTATGTGGTGGATTATACAACTCAAGTGCCAGACTTAAAATATGAGTGGGTGACCTTGCAACCCCTCTTGGGTATGTAACCAAGAAAACTGAAAACATGTTTACAGAAACACTTGCATGGGAATGTTCACAAAAAACAACCAATGAGCCAATGTAAAATTTGTACATGGACATTTTGGCATTATTCATAACAGCTGAATAGTGGAACCAACCCAAGTGTCCATCAACTGATGATGCAATACACAAAAGGCGGTATACCAGCAAGATAAACCACCTCTCCAGATGACTCTCTCATACAGCCAAGGCTGGGAAGTTAAGGGTTACAGGGACTCTGCCCAAAGGAATCCCAAAGGGCGCATCATGAGTGCTGCCTCCTTCAGCTGCTCTGTGGGGCAGGAGGCCTCGTCCTGATTTCCTTCATTCTGAGGCCAGGAAAAGCCTCGGCAGCCAGCCCCAGAAGCACAAGCTGCAGAGAACGCTTCCTTCTCGCCTGGCAGGCGCTGGCGTACAGCAGGTGCTCAGGAATACAGGCCCAACCAAGCCCTTGCCTCTTCACTGTTCTCCCGCCAGAATGAGGGAGACGGCTGCAGCTGTGGAGTGGGAGTCCGAGCCGTCAGTTTTCATCTCCGTGGGTGGACTCACCGGGGCGTTTGTCTGACGGCCATGGCTTTGTGTCCTCTACTCTGGTCTCCTGGCACTTCAGCTGCCAGCCTGCCACCAGAACAACAGCAAGACCAAGTTCCTCTGCTCCTCCAATGGTGGCCCCCCCCACGCCCAGCTACAGCCCACCGGCTGGCCTTCCTGGCAAGACAGTGACCTCCTGGCTTGAGGGTGTGACCACTGCATCTGGATTTACTTTCAAACCTGACTGCAGGCATCTCGGTGTGGCCCCAGATCTGAGAGAAGCACAGCTTAGAGACCTCCAAACACTGTCTCCAGGCCAGGGGTAATCCATGCCGCCACTCCATGTTAAATCTCAAGGTCTGTGTGGAAGAAAGGCTGGGATTTCTTGACTGGGTGGTGTGTCTAGAGGGTAGCTGCTGGCTAATGCACAGGGAGAAGGGCAAGTGTGGGACCCTCATGGGGTAAGTTCCTGGGTACAATCACAGGGCAGGGCAGGCCCTGGGGCCGTGGTGGCCTCACAGAGCCAAGCTGATGGGGTGCTTGCCCCCAAAGCCATCTAAAGGGACTGTCCACGTGCCAGGGCAGGCCAAGGCCTCAGATTGGTTCTGATGCAGTGATCACAAAGAGCAGTCTGAGTAACTCTCGCTGCTGGTCAGGAGGAGCAGGTACTGGAACAGGAGCTAACAGGACAGCATGGATCTTCACAAATGCAGCCTGTTTTACGTGTGCCAGGCCTAGTGCTGGGCCCTCAACAAGGCCCTAGCCTGCTGTGCCAAGTCAGAGCCTGGCTCTGTTGTATGGTTCAGTATTCGACTGCATCACACAGAATACAGCGAGTGCAGGTGTACTGAATTCATGAAAAACATGGGCCAACCATATACTCAAGAAACAAGAATGGTCACAACAGGATGCTGAGTGTGTCAGGCTTGACCTTACAAGAACGGCTGGCCAAGTGACTTACTTGCGGATTTAAGGTTGTGCACTCCAAAAAGAGCCATTCCCCCAGAGATCACCAGGGAGTGGCAGCCTGCACGTCTGGCAGTGGATGGAAGACAGAGACCCAGGCACCTTAGAAACAACTGTTCAAAGGGAGACAGTGGTGGCACCCAATGACAAGATCCCCACACCTTCACAGACCACACCTTCCCCTGGGGCTCTGCACTGGCCTCACTACTGACCTCAGTACACATCAATGGACAGAGTCTGAATGTAGGGAAGAGGGAACAGCCAGAGGACACAGCAGAGGTGACCCTTGGCTTCATTCCAGGTGTTATCCATGCACCTGATAAAGTGAGAGGTGCCGGGAGCCTGCAAACACTTAACTTCTCACAGGAACAAAATGACAGATCATAGCAACCAAGCTAATGGCATAGGACGCATCAATGCCTGTGTTAACTGCCAGGAGCAAGGTGACAAAAGTTAAGAAGGGTCACGAACAGAGGACAACTATGGAAAGGGCCTGGCGTGTGGCAGATACCCTCCAACAAGCTGGGAAGACCAAGTCCAACTGGAAGACACTGTTTTAAGACAAATTCAAGGACATCCCTTGTTATACCCAGTTGCTGTGTCCCAAGGCGGAGGTAGTTATGGGATCCGAATCTTGGTTGGCACTTAGGTGGGAGGCTTCCAAGCCATCCCTACCTTCACCAGGACTCTGCACCACCACCACCTGCCCTCCCTGCACCCCACTGTAGGGACCCCAGGGGACCTTCTGGGACACTCACCCTCTGGACATCTGTATGGGCTTCAAGGTGTGTGTTTCAGACAGATTACTGCAACATGGTACACAGCCCAACCACGAGTTTCAGGAAGGAAAATGACCCATCGTTTTCAATTTCTATTTCAAGTTTATGGAAAAGCTTTGCTGTAATAAACTCAAGAACTGCCCCACCCCCACCCCCAGAGAAGTGGAAGAGCATGAGCCTGGATTGAGGGGTCTTAGGACCACACCCCAGACACCACTTGCTGGTTCCTGCTGCCTTGGGTCACAGCAAGGACACCTGCTCAGTGACCATTACACTTGAAATTGCAGGCCTCCCAACACAGCCCGGCCCCTTCCCCTGCATTATTTTTCCCCAGAGCCCGCATAACCATCTGACATACTTTTCGTTGTTTCACCTCCTAGACTGTAGGCTTGCTTCAAGAAACCTGCTTACGGCCATGTTTGTCCCTGTGACCAGTGCAATAAACAGTCCTTGGCACATAAGCGGCAGACAGTAAGTATTTGATGAGTGAATGAATAAAAGGAGGGGATGTAGGCCGGCAGTGGGATGTCAGTTTATGATATGATTACCAGTTATTTTTACACTTCATCATTTTCTTCCAACTGAACTGTGGAGTATTCAGAAAATAACTTTCAAGTAGGGTTATCTTCTAAAGTATTTTTCGCTGGCTTCTCGGTGCCTCTTTACCAAAAGCCTTATTTTTTTAAAGCTAATCTATAAATGATCAAGTAAAATAAAGATGACCTCTTCAGTTCTTAAAAATAAAAAGGCAGAAAATAGACTTTATTCCAAAAGAGATTTTTAGAAGTCATTTTTCAAGAAAAAGACAAGTTCTGCTACTAACTCGAATGTTTTTTCAGTTTCTCAATCTTTCTTTTCCTAGGCTGGCACTCCAGCCAAGCTTTTTGCAGGATATGTTCTAAGTCCTCAGCCCACAAGAATGTGGCTTTGATCTTCTTCCTGCAGGGGCTTCTCAAGTTTTCCAAGCCAGGGAGTGAGAATGGTTCCAAGGCTGGTGACAGCCGTAGGCCCACAGGACACCAGGCTGGTGCCCATTGGCATTTCCACAAAGAACTCCAGTCCAAGGAATTCCAGCTTGTGCCCAGAAGCAAGCTGGCTGTAGAGCAGCCGACCCAGAAAGGTTGAGTGGGAAGGAGGACCTGGCTCCCCAGTGAGGCTGGGGCTCCCCAGTGCACACACGCAGCCTGCCCAGACACCAACCGAGAGCTCTGCTGTGACCAGAGGGCCTCCAGGGGCCCTCCTGGGAGTTACATTTAAAAGGTGTCAGGCCACCTATCAAAATGAAATGGCATGTTGTGACAGTTCAGCTTTTCCTAAAACCAGGTGTGACACCAGAAGCCATCACCCATGAATGGGCAGAGTCTGAGTATAGGAAAAAGAGTGGCTAGAGGACATGGAAAAATTGGCTGGTGCTCAGATGGTGCCAGGGCCACACTGCCCAGGACTTGTCTCGCCAGAGCTTGGCCAGATAGACAATCATCCTGGGCTGAATTCAGCAGGCCCTCACCAAGTGCCCCTGCTCTGCTAAGTGGTCCGAGTGGTTCTGAGACCAGGGCTGGTCTGGAGCGAGTCAGGCAGGCGATTCAGATGAATGATTTGGCCAGAGCCACCATGTGATCCACACCACATGCCACATCCACAGGCTCCCCAGGCACTGTCACCTGAAAAACAAGACCCAGCCCACCATGAGGTGACCAGCTGGGAGGCAGGCAGGCTGCGGATGGCCCGACCTGGGCCTGACCTCAACCACTCCGAGCCATGGTGCCTCCCCTGGAAGTAGGGATGTCACACCTCTGCACAGGCAGGTCGGGACATGGGAATGTGACCATTGTGGAAAGGGCCATCCTAGCTCCCGACCCAGTCAGCAGCAGATGCAACCATTCCCGTGCCCGACCCCCCCACCCATGAGAGGCCCATTTGGGCACAAGCACGGACCCTGAGTGCACCAAGGGACGCACACATCCCTCAGAGGTTACACCCCTGAGTGTGGCTCCACCAGAGGTCAATACCTGCTTTCAAGCCAGGTGTTCAATGACCTTTCCTAGGGGTCATCACCACAGCTCAAGTGACCCCTTCTCCTGCCTTCAGGGTCCACTTTGGGAACAAGGCCCGGCCTGGTGTCTTCACCCACTGGCTCTAGCTCCAAGCAGGATGTTTCCTGTGTCTCAGATGGTACCAGAGGTCTTGCTGGCAGTCTTGCCAACACTGCCCATCCAGGCTGACATTTCCTCAAAGAGGGCCCAACCCTCAAGGTAATGAGCAGACAGCCCTCCTGCAGATATGGAGGCTCTGGCCTGTCTGCTTTTAAAATGGCTCTCATGGTTCTACAGGCTGGCCTCAGAGACAGACACCCCAACCAGCTCCAGGTGTGCCCACAACTCAAGAATTTCCATGTGCATAGAGCCAACCCAGCTCTCCAGAAAAGGGGCACTTTCCTTTTCCCTTGTTTTTCAATAATAATAATAATTACTATTATTATTTTGAATAGGTAATGCATGCACATGACTACAACATAAAATTACCTTCCATCAAAAACAAAAAAAGTATTAAGCACCTTTTAACACCACCCCTGTCATCATCTGTCCCTTCCCCAGCTTCCCTCTGAACTGGAAACTTCTTTTAACTGTTTTTTTTGTCCTTCAGGAGGTTCTTGATGCAAACAGAAGCAAATGCCAGGGCAGTGTCCCCGTAGGCAGTACTGTGCCAGGAAGCGCACCCACACCGCTTACTCCCCAGACCCTCGCCAGACGCTAGGGCTGCCATGCAGATCTGAACCTGCCATCCTCCTGGGTGGCAGTGTTTGGCCAGGCAGTGTGACAGCTGGGAAGGGGATCTTGTCACAGCCTGTGGAGTTTACTGAGCTCAGGAGGGGAAGGGTCCTGGTCCAGATGGCCTGGCCTAAAAGCTGCACTGCAGCAGCTCTGAGCCCGGAGCTTGGCGCCTTCCATGTGGGGTGACAAGTCCATTAAGAACTCCAGGCAGCAAGGCAAATGGATGCTAGTCACCAAGTCTGCTACCAGCCCCTCCCTCCTTAAACAAACATCTTTAGCAAAACTATTACAGAAATCACTAAACAAACAAGAGTGGTGCCCCCAGTTCATCGCAAAGACACAGAGATGCAGAAAGCATTCCAGTCTGGCCATGGAAGCAGAGAAAATGTGTTTGTTGCCTCTGAGGTGACTGGGTCCAGGTGAATGCTTAGCAACCTCTTTCAGGCCATTAGAGCACATTTTGTTGACCTTCCCAGGGAAAATGACACTCTCCGTGCAAATCTGTACCCAAACGCTGCACTTAAGCACCTATGTCCTTGTTCCCCAAGTGCGCTGTCCAAAGCAGAGCAAACCACTTGGCCTTGGTTTACTCGCCAGGACGATGGTCTGGGCCAAGGTGGGCCCCAGCTGCAGGCCTAGCCTCGGAGAGCCCTCCTTGGGGAACAGTTGTCCCTCAGGCTCTGAACTGAGGCCAAGAGGAGACTGCCTTCGGCCATGTTTTATTTTTGTCCTCATCAAGGTTAAAAGGAGTTTCTATTCTAAACCAGTTTTTACTCACATCACTGCAAAGGAAAACAGTTCCAAAAATTGAACCACATTTGGCTGGAGTGACTCTTACAAGTTTGAGCAGAATCAGTTTAGGAACACTTCTCTTCACAGTTACAAGTCCTGAAAACAGATGCCCACCGGGTGAATACAGGAAGGCTGAGGGGAACCTGAGCCACGCTGGGATCGGGCCCAGCCTGACTCGCCACTTGCCCCAGGGGCTGCTTCTGGAATGTCCTTCATGGCACCAAGAGGCAGGCTGAGGATGGGGGCAGCTCAGCCTGCAAGGAGGGGCTTCCCTGAGCACCCAGCTCCCACAGGCCACCTCTCTCCTGGGCATGTAAACCTCCAGGGCCCGTCACTACTGAGGCGGCCACACAGGATACAGGATGGAAGTCTGAGAGTTTCCCAGCCTGGGCTGTGAACCCACCCTAGTCCTGACCAGAGGGGTGCACAGTGAGAGGGAAGCACAGTGTACATGCAGTTCACCCAAGTCCACCGCAGCCACTGAGCAGCAGGGAGATAGCCCCACCCCCGTGACTCCTGAGGTCAGCACCCACAGGTACAGGTGGTGGGGGAGTGCGCAGCCTCCCTGGGTTGTTTTCAGGATAACGAATGCCAAGCACCTCGCACACTGGACACCTATGCCCCACTCACAAAAAGGATGTCTGTTGGAAAGCAAGTGCACTTCTTGGGGTGAGGGGCTGAGGCTATTCAAAACTTGCCCTAGTGGCCAGTCCCAGGCCTGCAGTGCTGCCATTTAACTCAGAAGTTCCAGTGAAGGCCAGCTAACACCTGAACAGGGTGTCCTTGCCTCTGCCTGCCTCTTCTCTGCTGCCAGGGACCCTAAGTCTGCAGCTCCAGGCCCTTGTGGCAGAGGTGGACATGGTGAAGAGACCATCGTCTGGAACACAAGAGTCTGAATCTTGGCTCCGCTTTTATACTAGACTTGACCTTGACGAAACTGCTGACCCTCTCTGAGTATCAATGTGTAGCAGGAAAACATCCTGGAAACCTCCTGGAGGACAGGTGTGACCCGGTGCCTCAGAGGTCACTTCCCAGGCCGACATACTGACAGAAAAGCCCAGATTCTGAGAGTCTATGAATAACTAGTTAGCACCAGTATGGAGCTACTGACAAGCTTTAGTCTTTTTTTTTCCTTTCCTGGAATACTTTTTAAATGATACAACAAATCAAAAAATCCCTCACTGAAGATTAATAAGAAAATCATTTTTTAAAGAAGAATAACCACCTGTAATTAAAAATAAAAATAGTGAGTACAACAGAAGAGGCTGGAGTAAGGTCCAGCTACCCAACCACAGACTAACCTTGAAGGAGTCCATCTAGTTGATCTAAGACCAGGTTCCCGCCACCACCATGCTCCCAGAGCCCTGGCGGAATTAAATGCTGGGCACATCACCTCCGCCACCATCCCAACTCCCTGTGCCTCCCGTGTGATGGTGTTCCCAGGCTCAGGGAACAGGCGGGCGGGCACCAAACAGCTGGGCAACAACCCTGGTGCTCAACCACTTATTTTCCAACAACCCTAAAGTCTCCACTTTGACCCGTCCTCTTCGAGATGACACCCAGCTTTCATAAAGGAGGCAGGGCTGCCAAGTTCACAGGACCCCGGGAGGGCCGAGGGAAATAGCCCCTCAGATACCGGAGTAGCTCGAAACATTCTGCAGATGAATCCTTATTTTACTTAAATTATTCATTTCTTTTGTGTTTTTTACATGTGTTTTTAAAAAAGGCTTTACATAATTTCAAAATATTAAAATCTAACTTCAAAGAGACACACAGGCATGTGCCCACACTGGCACATGCTTCTCTTCCCAGGGACTGTCTCTGGAAGGGAAGGGAAGACGCCAGGAGCAGCAGCTGTCTTGGGGACAAGATGGGAGACTTACTTTTCATAATATATTTCGTCCTTTGTATATATGTTTGGTATTCAAAAAAATAGCTTTTTTTTTAGAACTTACAGAAGCTAGTAAATAACACTAAGGTAAACTATAATTTAAAAGAACCTATTTCCTTTTTAATTGTGAAGTGAGTCTTTTTGTTCAACTGCATCCTCCCCCTAAGAAAAGTCTTTATTTTTTAATTTTGGTGGCTGTGGTTAAGGCATTCTAAAAATTAAAACATCCTGCTTTCTTTTAAATTTGCTATAAAACATTCCTGTACACGGGCCTCCGTAAACAGCTCCTGGCACACCACTGTCTTCATTTCAAACCTCTCCTTCTCAGGAGCCGCTCAGGGCCTCACAGTGCCGGCCCTCAGCTTCCTCTCTGAGGCACCAGTATGCCTTGGTTTCCCTGCTCCATGTGCCTGAAGACAGCCTCCAGTGAGGCCTCTTACCTGGCACTGTGGACCTGCAGCCCTTGGTCAGGCTGCTCCCTCCCTGGACAGTCCACACACAAAGGCCCCAGGAAGGAGCTCAGGGCGGTGAGCCCTGCAGCCTGAGAAACGGGCTGGGTGCTTGCTCTGGCCCCTCACCACTGCGCAGCGTCACCTGATGCCATGGGGCAGGGGGAGGGTGGCCAGGAGCCAGCAGGGGGAGTGGTTCCTTGGGACTGGGGCTGGCCCAGTGGCACACGGGTGCTGCTGCCCCATCAAGTGACTGCTCTGTGGGCATTACCCAGCCCAGCCTTACCCTCCATGGGAAATACTGGTCTTCCAGGCGGCCAATTCCCAGACACCCTCGGATATTCTTGCCCCACACAAACAGCTCTCCTTTGTCTGCAAAGAAAGAAAACAGTGGCTTGGTAGGGGCTAGGCCAAGGGCAAGTCTCTAAGAGAAAGAAAGGGTTATGAGGATGGGCTTTCTAGAACCAGGTGCAAACAGAGCCCAATGTTAAACCTCAATTCCTACCAGGCATTAATGCTTTCTTTTGAAGGGAAAAGTATGCTGTTTCCATACCAAACACATGCCCAAGTCCAGATTTACACTGTGCCTGTCACACAGTGGATGAGCATACGCATGGAGCCGTGGGCACAGGTGGCTCCTGTGCACAGCCCGCTCTGCTCACCCCTCAAGCACACCCCTCGCCCACAGTGATATCCGACCAAACCCTGCCCTCCACAAATCCTGAAATATGAGCATCCTCAAATCCTGGTCATCCTGGTAAAAGTGAGAAGTGGGGCAGTTTGTCACTTCTTGTCTGGATTTCCATATCTCAGGAGCATTCGGCTCAGATGACACATGCTTACTCTCTGAGCCGGGTCTGTGTCTATGTGCTAGGACCAGGGACAGGACAGGGACTAAACACACGTGGTTCCTGTCCTCACGGGGCTGAAGCTACTCAAGGAGAAAGAAATAAACTAATGATCAAACCAATAAATGCATGTTTACAAACTGTAAAAAATGCCACCAAGGAAAAGGGGACGGTGCTGCAGAGGACAGCCAGGTGACTGAGCCCACACTGGGGCCCAGGGAATGCCAACCTTCAGCCCGGAAGCACAGACCCACCAGGGCAGCCTCTCACCACCCAGCCTTCATCAGACACTCCTGTCTACACCAGCTTTGGGCACTCACTGGCACATAGGCCCCGTTTCACCATTCCCCCATCTGGCAAAGGCTCCGGTCATGGGAAGTTGAAAACAAGTCATGAAGAAGCCAGGGCAATATAATCTGGGCTGATTAAATGGGGAATCCTTGTGTTATGAGCTGTCAGAGCCCTCTGGTCTGCCATCATCTTTGGTCCTCCACTCTCTGACGCTGTGTGTTTAACAGAACAATTACGTCTGGTCCTCAAAATATTAGTAGGCTTTAACTTCACTGACTCCAACTCCTAGCTGCCATATGCAAACGCTGGGCCCACAGACAAGGGACAAACCCAGGCCCCGATGCTCCCTCTGCTGAGGGACAGTGACTGGCACTTGGAAGGTGGCTGTTGGGTCTTGGGGGAAATCTAGATTGGGATTTCATTTCAGTGGTACCCAAATGGCCACACGGCACAAGAGCAAACAAAAAATTGTCTACCCTAAGAGAATGCTTCATATGGATTTCCAAGTATGTGACGTTGCATGTAGTTTAAGCCTTAAAAATTTCTGGAAAATAAGTAACTGTTACATCCAGAATTCTTCCATACTGACACTTACTTGCCAAATCAAAATAGCTCTAAAAAAACCCCATGACCTAGACTCACTTGCAAATGGAAGTGGCTCACTCAGCATGGCTAATGGTAAGGCAGCCTTCCCCCCAGATACCACAGCAACCCGGTGGTGGTGACACACACAGACAACTCCCCCCACCATGCCAGGCCACACAATGGCTGTAAGTTTTAAGGCCCCTGAAATTTTGATATTCAGACAATAATCAAATGATGGCAGGAACTCTCGTGGTCATCTGGAACATTCTTCTTAGTAGCATGGGGCCAGAGTTCTGATTCCCCCAAGACCCAACAGCCACCTTCCAAGTGCCAGTCACTGTCCCTCAGCAGAGGGAGCATCGGGGCCTGGGTTTGTCCTTTGTCTGTGTGCCCAGGGTTTGCATATGGCAGCTAGGAGTTGGAGTCAGTGAAGTTAGAGTAGGCTGAAGCCTATTAATATAAACAAGGATGACCCAAATGGGTGGCCCCAGCCCAGACACTTAACAGGAAAACAGTAAGATGTCTTAATCTCAAGGAAATAATAAATTTACTTGAGAATCACAACATGAAATTAATTTAGTCCAGGCTTATGATTCAAGTCAACTAACGGGGGCAAACTGGACCGAAAAGTCACTTTGGTGGAATAAAAGTTGCAATCAAGACAAGCAGACACTAAAGGTCTGCAGACTGGGTATCTATGACTTTGTAATTTGGCAAGACTTTTGAGACATCCTCCCTTTTGGCCTCCCCTTTGATCACTCTCCCCCAGCATGTTGGAGAAATTGGGCAGATTTACCTCCCCAAAACCACAGGATGGTATTACAAATCTTCCTCTTGCCACCCCATGCTCCTGGGTTGGATCAGGGTCTGGCTTGGCCAGAGAAGGGGATTAAGGCCCACACGTTCATTTCCTAATTACCCACCATGGTCTCGCCAAACCTCTACTGGTTTCCTCTAGCACCCTGGTGTACTCAAGGGCCCCTCTCCTACAACCAACCGGTGTCCCCTTGAGAAAATCCACTTTTACATTAGCCTAACCACAAACCAAATGAACCAAAAACAAAATTACAGCATGAAAAAAAGATACACATTATACAACCTCAAAACCAAACAAATTTTGGATTAGCTGCTCTCTTTTATTATCCACACAAGGGCACCGCTCCACTAGATAGGTAAAAACTGAGAGCTGCCCAGTTCGGGGTTGAACCTTGAGAGGGAAGCTCTGCCAGTCTCTGGGCCACACGGGCCTGGTTACTTACTGGTAAGGGCAGCAAAGTGGCTGAGTCCACAGCAAATGCGGGAAACCTGGACTTCTGGATTGAAATCCGTCAAGCCAAAGAGAGTGGGTGGAATCATTTCTGGAAGAGCCGTTTCCACTAGGTTTGGTCCTTTCCCAAGAATTCCATAGCCCCAGACAAAAACATGTCCTTCCCCTACATTACAGTAAAACAACAGTCAGTCAGACCAAGTGCACCCCTAACCTCCACCACCCCACTTGAGATCTAAACCATGCCATTGAGATGCATTATATAAACATGTATTTTTTTTTTTTTAATCTCCTTGCTTGGCAAGAATGTTTTGGAGGTAGAGAGATGGATGAAACAGGTGAAGGAGATATAAAGAGGCACACACTTCAAATTATAAATTGGTCACAGGAATATAAGTACAGCATAGGGAATGTAACCTATAATACTGTAATGTCTTGGTATAGTAACAGGAGGTAACTACACTTACCATGGTCAGTATTTAATAATTTATATAATTGAAATCACTATGCTGTACATCTGAAACCAATATAATACTGTGTATCAACTACATAACAATATAAACAAATAAAATAATTTTTCTTTTCTCCTCTTTCAAGTTCTTGCTTGTGGAGTATGTCTAGCTAGCCTATCAGCCTCAGAATACAAACTTCCACACACCAGTTCACAAGTCACCCAGAAACCCCATGCGACTGAATAAGAGCCCTGGAGGACGCTTTCCGCACACCAACTGCTCTATGTTTCACGACGATCAGAAGACCAAGCCAAATACATAAACAACTTCTGGCTAGATCCCTAAAGCTCTCAGAAATGATTTTTTGGTTATAAGAGTTTAATACTCATCAGCTGTACCAGACGTTTAATCCCAAGGGCATAGCTGTCAGAATCCAACACTAAGACTCGGCTCCTGCCTGCCTTTTGTTTGCTGGCACAGCCGCTCTAGACGAGGCAGAGCTGGAGCTTCTGGCCCAGGCTAAGGTAAGGGGGAGAAAGGACTTCTCAAAACTCCAGAGGTTTGCTACAGAAGTACTAAGCTCTACTGCTATTAGTCTACACATAAATCCCAGCTATCATCTGTCAAGAATGTCATACTCCTCCTCTGCTAACTGAATTCAATCTAACTCAATCTTTCCACAGCCAGGTTCCCTTCCTCAGGCTGAGGTCTCAGGCCCTGCCCCTATCCGCCCATCCACAGCTTCCCGGTGAATGGCCTGCAGGAGGGTCTCACCATTTAATACTGCACAGCCTGTACCACCACACGCGGCTTGCTTCACCTTCCCCACTCCTGAGAAGGGTAAGTGGCGGGGGACATTCACCTGAACCAAAGGAAGGGAATGCACTGTTAGGAGGACAAATGAATGAGAACTTGGAAATATGCTGTCTTGTGTGCAGAGCTGGTGAGTCCCAGTTTATTCATTCACTCTACAAATATTTCCTGATTGTTGAATGTATGCCAAACTTCTAGCTGGGGATGAGTAACACAACGGAGAGCAAGAGTGCCAGCCCCTCTCCCAGAGTAAAGTGTGGTGGAGGAGGCAGATGTCAGCCAGAATGAACAAAAAATTAGTATGAGCTGAGTGCAATGAAGTACAGGAGTCTCTGAAAGTCCAGGTGGGAATGTCGGGGGGCCTGATCCAGCCTCGGGGGAGAAGCAGTCAGAGGAGACTTCACTTCACCCTGATGTGAAGGATGGCGAGCTAAAGGGAGAAGAGGAGGACTTCCCGAGTAGCAGGCATGGCACATGCGACAGAACGTGGTACATGTGGCGCATTCAGGTATTTACAAGAGGTCAGTGTGGCTGGGCAGGAGTGGGTCAAAGTGGTGCATATGCTGGTGAGGAGAAGGGAGGCCGGATTGCCCAGGATGCTTGGGGCCATGGCAGGGATGTGCTCTATCCTAAGCATAGTGGGGAGCCAGAAAGGGTTCTAAGCAGGGGAAGGACATGATTTCTAGGGGGGTTGTGAATGGATGTAGGTACAAGGATGAAGGACCAGGCTGTGGGGATGAGCATGGGTTCACTTAGGGATGTACTGAACTCACAGCACCTAGAGAGGCCCAAGCAGAAATCTCAAGTGGCACTAAGAGAAGTCTGGTCCTGCCACATAAGCTGGAGAGTCATGAGCATCCAGGCTGTCCTGCAGCCATGGGTGTGGCTAAGACCTCAGAAGGGAGACGACAGAAAAGGGGAGAGCAAAGCCCATACCACTGCATGGCTTTTCAACATTTAAAGGCTGGGCACAGGAATAAAACTGTTAAATGAAACTGAGAAGGAACAAGGAGAAGGGCAAGAGAGCACTAGAAGAGCCTAGTCACAGGGCCAAAGGGAGAGTGTTTTTCACAAAGATGGTCAACATGTCAATGGTCAGTATCAAATGCTGCAAACTGGTAAGGGTGGAAGCTGAGCACAATGGATGGGGGGACAAGCAGGAGACAAGGAAATGAGGAGAGATGGTACGTCAATGCAGCTCCTGAGAAGTCTGGCCTAGAAGGAGGGGCAGGAGGTAAAGCAAAGGGGTAGTAGGGTTGGGGGAGATCAAGGAGCCACATAGGGCTTTTCAAGATCAAAGTCACAAGGAGCAGAGGCAGACACCAGAGAGGGAGAGGCTGAAGTTGTGGGAAAGAAGGCCCAGCAGAGTAAGGCTTCTAAGAAGGTGGAAGGAGATGGGATCCAGGGCACGGAGAGAGCGACTGGTTCCAACAGAGAGGGCTCTACCTCGTCCCCTGCTCCAATGAGGACGGGGCCCAGGCGGGTGTGGGAGTCAGTGGGAAGCGGAGGGCATTCTCCCCTGATGGCATCTGTTCTCTCAATTGAACAGGAGGCAAGATCTGCTGAAACCAAGAGATGGGAGAGTCAGGGGACTGAAGAATGAAGTGTGGCCAGTGCAACTTTCCAACAGGATTTGGTCTTGGCGCCTCTGTGGAGAACTTTTTGGAGAGATTTTAAGTACTTCAGGACAGCCATGAATCTTTACAGATCCACTTTCAAATGGAGACAGCTGGAGGAAAACAATCCCTAAGTTGATTCGAAAAGAACACAGGGGCTTACTGGGGCAGAAAATGTGTGCCTGGAGCAAGTGGCTGTCAGGGCTCGGGCCTGGCCTCTGCTGCTCGGCTGTTGGTGTCTTCACCTCAGCAAACACTGAGGAACTCCCCAGCAGAGAGCCACTGGAGAGGCCCCACTGTTGCCACTGACAGGATGATGCTCAGGCCACAGTAGAGTCCTGGTGTGTGGGCTGCTTCGAGGATGAACCCAATGATCCTGTCTCCTGCTTTTCACACCATGGGTCAAACCCTCCCCCATGTGGGGGCTGGGCCTTATGACTAACTTCTCATGAGGAGAATACCAGCAAAAGAGAGGGGAGGTCACTTCCAAGATGAAATGATGAAACACTGCTTCTGTCTCACGAGAACTCTCTCCTGCCCTCTCATTTGCCCACTCTGATGAATCCAGCTGCCACAGGGAGAAGCCTACATGGCAAGGAACCAAGGCTTAGCCAACAACTATTAGCTGGTCAACCAGCAGGGAGGAACCAGGACCGCAGTCCAACGCTCCACGAGGACCAGCATGCTGCCAGCAACCACCGGCATGGTCCTGGAAGCAGAGCCTTCCCTAGTGGAGCCCTAAGACAAATGCAGCCTTTGAAGGACTCAGAGCCAGAAGACCCCACTAAGCCACCCCTAGATTTCTGACCCACAGAAACTGTGAGATAATAAATTTGTGTTGTTTTAAGCTTTGGGGTCATTTGTTATGTAACAATACATAACAAAGACACACCACCAATTTGTCCCCCGCAGGAAGGCTGTGGGAGATATTTTTCTCAGGCCTTGGAATCAGGAACAGCAGTATTTCTCCTGAGTACATTATCTGCTATTTATCCCACGGAAACAATGAATCATTTAAGTGACCATGTTTTCTTCTTTGCTTTGGCTACTAGGAAGCTCGGAGCCAAATCGGCAACCACTTCTAGTCACAGTGCCAGACCAGAGGGATGCATTTTTTATCATTCGACCTTTCATTTCCCTTTGTGCAGATATATCTATGAATATGTATTTAATTACCTCTGTATGCTGTCAGAAGTTTGACGATACTAACAAATGTAGTATTTTTTTTAATAGTCCTTTAAACTTTTAGAGATACACACTGAAATTTGTATGGATGAAATATGTCTTAGATTTGCCTCAAAATATTCAGGGTAAAGAAGTAGATGGAATTACAGATGCAGCAAAACTAGCCACTAGGGGTATGGGTTTTTTTACAGTGGGTAATGGAAATATTCTACAATTAGACAATGGTAATGGTCATATAACTTTGTGACTATATTAAAAACCACTAGATTATATGCTTTTAAATGGTGAATTATATCTCTATTTTTAAAACAGGCCATTAGTTGGTAATTGTTGAAGATGGATGATGGATACATGGCGGTTAATTATGCACAGAGCTCTACTTATTTTCTGTGTTGTTGGAGTTTTCCTTAATAAAATGCTTAAAATCCTTCTGTATTGTGCTGACAGTGGCTCCCTTTAGTGAGGAGTGGGTAGTGATGGGGAGAGGCCACAGGCAGGGCTTCTGGAGTGCAGCTAGCATCCTACTGCTTGATTTGGGTGGGGCAACATAGTGTCCTTGATGGTGATGCACACTTACGACCTGTGTGCTTTTGAGCATGTATGTTATACTGCAACAAAGAGCACCCTGTGAAATCCCAGAAACTTATATAAATAGCCTCCTATCCCTTCTAGAACAAGACACACAGAACACACCTAAAATAGTGCTCTAAACCAGGACTACCTAAGGGAGGTACTGATTACAATGGCTTTTGAACCCAAGTTTTCTTTCCAGGCTCCAATGAGATCGCCAAGAATTCGGTGTCCTGAAAAGGCAAATATTTTAAACAGCAGGTTAGGTCTAAACACCACTTTATACATCATACTTTGGTAACAGACCTCTTATAAATGTCCATAACACTTTGTATTTCCAAACCTCCCAGCACCAGGCTGTAAGTGACCTCATACCTGCGTGGAGTTGGTAACAGAGGCCAGCTGCAGGTACTCAGAGTTTCCCCAACCAAAGAGGCCTCCATCAGCAGACACAGCCAGGCAGCAGTCACCGTAGGTGGCAACCTGGACAGCGTTCACTCCAGCAAGGTCTCCGCCCAGCTTGGTGGGCATGCTGGTGATATTGTAGTGACCCAGACCTAATACAATGGAAAATCATGTTACTTACTTTTAATTATTTATTCTTTTAACAAAAACACTTATATAGACTTACTGTGTGCCAGGCACAGTTTTAAGCACTTTACAAACACCAACTAAGAAACCCTCATCAGTCCCTCTGCACGCTCTACAACTTCCTTCTCCAGGTTCTCGTAAAGAAAAAACATAGTAGTAATTGTGTATTTTTTAAACCCTTGAAATTTTCTGTCTGATTCAAGTTAGAAATCTTTGCAAGGTGAAACACCACTCACTACACAGTGAACCTATTGGACCCCCCAGACCCTATTAGGATACATATACAGAATATTGTAACAAGCAGTTTCTAACATACTCTTGGGCTTGCCAGAAAATAAAGGCAATACGTAAGGGCCCATCCCACCCCAACTCCCCAAATCCCCCCCAAAAATAACAGTGAACTGAAACTGACAGACTGGCGTGGTAAAGAGGAAAGGACAGACCTGCCCCAAGGACAAATGTCGCCATCAGCCCTGTGCGCAGGGTAGCCCCGGGCAGCCGGCCAAGGCAGAGCACTCAGCCACAGACCCTGAGTAAACCAGGCTTCCTCCAAGTCAAAACCTACTAAACACATAAGCAAAGATGCCACAATGAGTGAGAGAAAACTGAACCAATGAACAATCGATTTATACCCTCCAGACTTCACACAGGAGAATTCAGATCTACAAAATAGGAAATAACTCTGTATGCAATGCTTCCAGAAATAAAAGCGTGAATAGGAGACTGCCAAATACGGCCAGGTAAACTTGAAAAGGAAGCAATGAAATGAAAAAATAGAGTTCAAAGGCAAAACTCAAACGGAAGGACAGAGAGGCTAGTCACAATCTAGTCATAATCTGGGAGAATGCTATCACTGATAAAGGGTGCAATGCTATCAATGATAAAGGACACAGATAAAGTATAAAGAATCCTAAAAATCAGTAGGAAAAAGACAAGTAAGTCAACAAAAATGGGCAAAGACACCATGTACATTTCAGAGAAAAAAAACCAAGCCTGTCCAATAAACGTATAAAAAAGATGGTCACTCTCAAATGGTAATTAGAAAAATGCAAATTCAAAACCTCAATGACATACTACTTCACATTCACCAGACAGGCAACAAGTGTTAGGTGGCTAATACCAAGCCCTGGCCAGGCTGTGGAAGAGCACCCTGCTGCTGTGGGGGTCCCCTGTTACAACTGTGCTGGAAAACAACCATTTGACTACATGTGCATACCCTACAACTGGCTTCTATTGATGGACTCCTCACTACAGCTCCTAAACTCTTGAACACATGTACAAGGAGACATATGGATGGCCACAGAAGGACAGACTATTGTAGAACAAAAAGTTACAAGCCATCCTAATATCTATTGACAGGAAAATGAATAAATTGAGTTATATTCCATGGCAGACTATCAGACAGCCATAAAAATGAATGACCCTTACTATGCTGGATGGACAATGACTTCAATGGGGCATGCGGGGAGACTCAATAATATGGGTGAATGTAGTAAACAAAATGTTTTTCATGTGAAACCTTCATAAGAGTGTATATCAATGATACCTTAGTTTAAATAATTACATATAAAAAATAAATGAATGAACCACATTCAGCAAGGAAGCAGGATACAAAAGCAACACCCAAAAATCAACTGCTTATTCTGACAACGAACAATCCAAAAATGAAAACCAAGCAAACACCTCTATTTACAGTAGCATTCAGAAGAAAAAATACCTAGGAACTAACATATCATATCCAAAGAGGTGAAAGACTTGTACAATGAAAACTACAGAACACTGCTGAAGGAAATTAAAGAAGATATAAATACACAGAAAGACATCTTAGGTTCATAGACTGGAAGATTTAATATTGCTAAGACGTTAATAATACTCAGAGTAATCTACATTCAAGTAATCCCCATCAAAATCCCAACAATGTCTTTTGCAGAATGGAAATAACTCTTCCTAAAATCCAAATGGAATCTCAAAGGACCCTAAATAGCCAAATGACCTCAAAAAAGAACAGCCAGGCCAGAAGTAAAGCCTTGCACATATAGTCAGATAATTTTTGACAAGAGATACAAGACCATTCAATGGGGAAAGGGCAGCCTTTGTAACAAATGGTGTTGGGAAAAACTGGCTATTGGCTATCTATCCTGGTCTGTTGGTTTATGTGCCTGACTTTATGCTAGTACTTTTTGATTAATGTACCTTTTTAGTAAGTTTTGGAATCAGGCAGTGTGAGTCCAATGTTATCATTACCAAAGAAACACACATTTAAAAAACTGGAATAGCGTCTTACTACGCTGATGGACAGTGACTGCAATGGGGTATGGGGGAGACTTGATAATATGGGTGAATATAGTAACCACAATGTTTTTCTTGTGAAACCTTCATAAGAGTGTATATCAATGATACCTTAATAAAAAATAAAATAAATAAAAATAAATAAACTGGCATAGTAATTAAATTAGCTCACTTAAATATTTTACTTACTAGAGGGGTTAAGGGCAAAGTAGAACTTCTATACATCACTAATACAGTATAAATGGTAAAATTTTTGGAACATAATTTAACAACAGATTCTGAAAATCATAAAAATATTCTAATTCTTTGACTCATTCCTGGGAATTTGTCCTAGGGCAATAAATCCAAATGAAAGAAAAAGCTATGTGTGTATATATGAAAAATGTTCTCTCTTCCCAATGTCTACTGTAACCTCTCCCCAAAAAGAAGTATGCCTTCTGACAACAGGGTAATGATTGGTAATTTTTTGATAAATGATTAATTTACACTATGGTAATTTGATACTGTATCATACAAATATTAAAAACATAACTGTAATTGTACCAAGAGGGAGAAATGTTTTATGTAAACTTGAATGATAAAACAAGTATATAAAAGACTTCTATGCTATTACTATGATATAAAAGATGTACACATATGAACAAGGACTGGAAGAAAACAGGTAACAGTGAACAAAGATGACTGGTAGCAATGGCAGGATTACTGAGGATTCATACAAGACTTAATTTCAAAGGCCTTCCTTTCAAACAAATATCAAAAGCCAAAGATTAAGTATAGCAGGCTGATAAAGTTTATCCCTCATTCCTCCTCCTTTAAACATACTCTTCTCCAAAGTTAAAATTGAGCTCCTCATTTGTGGAGCACCTCAGGTGGCACCTGCAAACTCTGTTACTGGGGGAGTCTCTAATCCTCTCCAACCTTTATTGGATATTTCCATGGGAACAGGGAGAGGTGGGGGAGGAAAGTGAGGGACACATAGAACAGCATGCTCAGGAAGTGACAATAGAGGTTAAGAGTTAAATCACGGAATGTGGGTTCCAGCGCGAGAGCCCACAGCTCACAGCTCCATCCTGCTCCATCCTGAACCATCCTGAGGAAGTGAAAGGCTTGCTACCTGTTTGCCCATCCGCGCCCCATCCACAGGAATAGACCTCTCCTTTATCCGTTAGGAACATACTATGGTCCTGACCACAAGCGACCTGTCAAACAGAGGGGAAATCCTTAGAAACCCAGTATCCCAGGCCACAGTCCCAAAACTTGGCTCCATTCCCTACTGCTCCCAAGCAGAGAGGGCCCAGTCCAGGCAGGCTGCCCATACTACCTCCACATCCAATTTTCTCAATCCACACCTGCCCAGCCCTTGTCCCCACTGCACTGGCACTGTCCTTGCTACCATACAGTGCCAGGGGTCCTGAGGGGCAAGCCCAAGAGCCCCTCCCCACCTCTCCATCCCTGAGGAACCTCTCCCTCTTCCAGTACTCTCTTCTGCCTCCTGTCATGTCCAGTCTCTGTCACCAGCTCAGCCTCTGCTTCATGCCCCTCAGTGCTGGACTCCTCCAGGGACTGTCTCTGGCCCTTTCTCTCCCACTCACACTTCCTGGGAAGCTGCCTGCATCCATTCCCAAGGCTTTCCCGGTCACCTCTACACGCTTCTCTCCAGTCTCAACAACTGCTGAGTTCCAACCTATTTTTCATCACCTCCTCCCCAACCCTGCTCCACACCATGGCCAAAGTAGCCTTTCTGAACTAATCATGGTTTGGCTGTCACTCAGCCCCCAACTCTCATGAGGAGGAAGTCTAACCTCCTTACCAGGGCACACGAGACCCTGCATCGTTCACTCCCAACCTGTCTCCCATCTATCCCACCCCACCTGGGCAAGCACAGCAAACTCCAGCCACACTGCACGCTCTCAGCATGCTACAGCCTTCAGGCTGCTCCCTCACCTCTGCCATAAAACCTTTCTTACCACCCACCCCAATTTATCTGATAGATTCCTCTGCCACTTCCTCCACAATGCCTTCTCTCCCTTCCCTTCCACCCCTGGTAGACTTAACAATTCCTTCTGGTGCTCTCAGAGCACTTTCTGCATGTATCCTTTTACATTTTAAATATTTATTATTAAGTACCTACCATGTGCCAGGCACTGCACCAGGGATGGGATAAAATGATGAGCAAAAGAAAGCAGCCTGGAACACACACAGCAGTGTTGTGCCATGACACAGCTAGCTTTTTTTTTTTTAATAAGGTATCATTGATATACAATCTTATGCTCAGGTTTCACATGAGCAACACTGTGGTTACTACATTCCCCCCACATTAACAAGTTCCCACCACATACCCCTTAACAGTCACTGTCTGTCACAGCTTTTCTAACCTGTCTCTCTTACTAGAATACTACCCTCCCAGACCTTATATTTTGGACCCCATGTCTAGTATAAATCCTGGCCTACACTAGGCAGGCAATCATTTTAACTTTAGAATGTATTAATGCAGAAAATCCCCTAACAAATCTGCGTAACCCCACCCAGCTTTCACCCTCTCAAAAGCAGGTAGCAAGACCAGTGGCTCTCAGCCCATCTCTTACCTGGACCACCTGTCCATCGAAGTCCTGCATTCTATGGACTTTGTGGCTTTCACTAGAGCCGAGAGCAATTTGGAGAGAAGCAAGAGCTACGTCATGGTCCTGGGAAGCACTGTGCAGTTCTATCCTCCCCGGGCCTCCCCCATGCACATAGAATAACTGTTAGGGAAACTCACAAGGTCAAATATAAGGTAGAGGCAGTCTTAGGCATGAAAGTAAAACAAAACATAATCTTTTGGTGATTTTAATATGATGCCAGAGTGGAGACTGGTGTTTAGACCCAACAGCATAATGTGAGGACCTAGAGGGAAACTTCTTCAAAGACTAAAATTTTTTAAACTAATCAATCTGGTAGAAATATGAAATTAACTCAGAGGTCTATGCATCACAATCAATGCTCATCTGCCCTCCCACTCACCAAGCTAAGGTATGCAGCTCAACCTGAAGGAAACAATACTGTCCACAGCCTTCGGGGGGGTTCTCACCACCCCTCTCTGGCATGAGGACCCTTGCAGTTCACTGCTCTGAGTAATCAGTCAAGAAATGTTAACTGCTTAACACAATTTGGGTAAGGGGTATTCCTTTGGGAACTCACCTGTAAATTTCATTTTCGACCACCTTTCTTCCACACTGCCCATAGGCATTGTTTCCCAGGCTAAAGACTAGAACATAACACCACCAATTAAATCAGTTCTGCAGGTTCCTGGGATCCCAGAACATCAGGACTGTAAGGGGGTCGCAAAAGTGGTCCTGGTCCATCACTCCCCCACCCGCCACTGGTGTCCTTCCCCACCATTCCCAGCCTTGCAGGCATGCTGGGCTCCAGACCCGCACACCAGCCGGGGTTCCTTCTGCCTTCCCCTCAGGATCCTAGTCTGCCTCTTGGGAATTCCACAGCACAAGTTCAGCATTTCCTGGCAAGGCCCTAGCACCCTCATTCCCTGTACCTGTCTCTAGGTTACCCTCAATGCCAAATCCCCTCTTTAAAGAGTTCGCTTTTTCCTACGAAGCACACTTAGCCAGAAAGTGAAATTTGAAAAACGTAGTCAAGTCAGCCTTTCCCTGGAAATGACCGCTCTTCTGGAGAGAGTCAGTGTTAACTAGAAGCCTGGACTCTGAAAGCCCCCACTCCTTGGGAGAAGGGTTAGCAAACAGGCTTTCAGCACAACAGAAAAGGCTGTTCACACACTGCCTGGGTCAGTGACTTCCTGGCAAAGTGAGTAGGAGGCCTTGACGAGGCTGCCTGGTGTGCGCTATCACACTGTAAATCCCAAGACTCTCCGAGAACCGCAGAGAGCAGAGAACACGTAAGAGTTGACAAGGCCTGCCCAGTACAGCTCTCTTGAGCCATCCTGCTGACTGACTCGGGAGCCAATGGCTTCACTAATTAGATGAACCCACCTATCCCAGACAGATGGCCCAATGGCAAGAAAGTGGTCCCCACTCCTCCATCAACCTTGGACGAGTCAAGTTACCTCCTTCGCCGTCTGTCAGGACGAGAGAGTGGGCTCTGCCGCAGGAGACCTGCAGTACCCGTGTCTCCTGAGGTCTGTCCAGGGGCAGTGGGATGGGCGAGGGCTCCAAAACATACTCGTATCCCCTCGCTGAAACCAAATGATCAGGTTCACGGCACATGACACTGACTGGGAGCCACAGCACTTGCAACATTAGAAGTCATACCGCCCAAACCCCACACTGGTACACAGAGATCAAAATGACCTACTCAAGGCATAAGTGAATAGCAGAGCTCAGACTAGAAGCCCAGACTCCAATTCCCAACCACCGCACCCCACTGCCTCCATTGTACTTCAGATAATCGGAAAGCACACACAGTATTACTGAAGAATCCCTTCACATGTCACTTAATGCCATTTAGGTTTTCAAGGAAAGTAACAGCATTTTCCTCAGTAAGGTTAATACCACTTATATTAGAAGGAGGCAAAGAGAATATGGAGATGAATTTGCTGCATATCCATTAAATCTCTCCAGAATGATAAATCAGAAACCATTAATCCAGGATGTCTTTAAGGAGAAAAACTGGCTGGGAGGACAGAGGCAGACAGCAGACTTTTCACCACATATCCTACTGTGCCTTTAGGTTTCTGAAGTATGCAATTCTAAAAAGAAATTCTTAATATTTAAATAAGCAAGTATGGGGAAAAGTTTTCTAGAAGTCACTCTGAAGAAGAAACTGACTGTTCTTTATAACCTATTGGAGAAGCCAGAAAGTTCTATGTAGGGATCCCTCTCCTACATGTTAAACAATGAGCTAACGAATATTTATTACAGAGGCTGGAGTTCAGGAGATGTGCAAATGCAACAGCACTCAACCTGTTCCCACTAAAGGCCCCTCCCTTTCCTCCTATGAATCCCATGTTGAAAATCTGTCTACAAATAAATGGCATTATTACTGCTATGACAATACACTTGCCCATCTGCATTCATCAGTGACTGAAAAAATATTCAAAGGGAGCTTTTGATCCCCATGGATAACTGGTTTATCACAATGAGAGGATGTGATTCTAGGCAAAACCAAAGAAACTGCACAATGTTTTAGCTTAAACAGCCTTATCAGTTGAAAGTACTTTAAAATACTGATGAGTGACTCACATCCCCCATTACTCTCTGCATAGACGCCTAAGGGCCTGGGAGGCAGTAAATATATAACACTTAAAGGGAATCTGGCTCTAAATGCAACAATAAATGGAACTGAAATACAGAGGACAGAGGTTCATGGTAAATGGCATCACAGGGATGCACTCAGCAAACGCCAGACTGGACAATTCCACAGGATACACGGTATTTCCTCAATTAACCAACTTCAAGGAAAAAAGACTAAAATAGACTTAAAAGACTTTTAAAAGTCTAAACAACTAAATGCAATGTCTAGACCTTACCTGGATCTTGATTCAAACAAAATTTTAAAAATAAAATGAAAATCTAATGACATTTATAAGACAACTGGCGATCTGAACACTGATTGGACAGTTGATGTTGTTTAAGAATTATACTGTGAATTATTTTTAGCTATGAAAATGACCCTTTTTCTTTTTTGTGGGTCATTTTTTTTAGATACACACTGAAATATTTATGAATGAAATTAATGTTGGGGTTTACTTAAAATTGTTAAAGGGTTAGGGTGAATGAATAAAACAAGATTGTCATGAATTGATCGCTGAAGCCAGTAATAGGACATGGGATTCATTATACTACTCTATTTCTGTATATGTCTAAAATCCCTAATAAAAGGTATGAAAAATGTAATGTGGCATCCTACAGCTAATAAAGACTTCAATACTGCCTTATAAAAGAATTCAGGTATAAAATTAAGTGAAAAGGGACAGAAAACAATATACTATGATCAGAATTAAATTAAATATATTTTCATATGAATGAGAAAACAAAAAAAATTAAAAGAAAGGTATGCTGAGTATGTAGTTCAGGGTAATTTCACCCTTATTTTAAAATTGTTTCTCATTATTCTTATAATACTTTTTGGATAATGTCTACATTTTAAAATGACATTCTATATAATTTCTAACATTTTTACAATCCAAGTTTCAAGCCTCCATTTTAATTTTTTTCCCACACCATGTTCCAGGTACTGCAGAGTATCTCAAGTTACCTCCAGCTGAGAAAGAAAGGTCATCTTTGGGGGCCGAAAAGGAACATCTTTACTTATCAGCCAATGTCCTTCTGCCTAAAGGTTCAATATTACTACCCAAGAGGCTGAAAAACAGTCTAGTCCAGATGGCTTCAAACAACATCCCTTGAGGACTCCAACTATTTTGTTGCTACAGTTTCGTTTATGAAACATTTTTGAAAACCAATCATAGCAGAGAAGCCAAGGTGAGAATGCTCACTTTTGTCTTTCTGGCTCCTGTGAAATCCAAGTTGAGAATCTTTGTTGAGTCCCATACCCCAAACTTTCGTAACATCCTTGGTTTTAGAGGACAGCAATGTGAATCCATAGCCGCAAGCAGCAGATGAAATCTGAAAAAGAGTGCCTATGAAGTAGTAACTGGTTTGTGATATCAAGTTTTTTGGCAATAAATGACAGGCTGTTTTACCCAATCAAAGAACACGTTTTATTAATATGGCCAATAACACTTTTTGACCAATAACCATGCGTTAAGTGTTTGATACGGATTAGTTCATTTAATCTTCACAAACACCCTATGAACTAGTTGTCCCCATGATCCTCATTCACTAAGACATAGTCTAGCACAGTAGTTAAGTTGAAGACTGCCTTCATTTGAATCTTGACCTACTGTTACCAGCTGTGTGACTCAAGTCACAGTAAGAACAGCAAGCTTTATAGCATTAACTTGACCTATTCCCACCCACCTCAGTTCTGCAGTAGCCCTGAAAACCAAGATTCACGATTATGATGAGTGCAGTGTGACAGCCACTACAGGAAGAACAGGAGTGGAACAACTTCAAAGCTACATTCCCAGAGAATTCTTACTTGCTCTGTCTAGTGGTTCCCTGGAAGACCCTATTCACATGGCTTTATTTATTTGACCTAACCCAGTTATCACCCAATGCAAACAGCCTTTTCCCCAGGGATGTTTCCTCAGAACAAGCAGAGGTTAATGATGAATATTGTAGCTGTCCAAGGTGGTAGATAATGGTTGGAGCAAAAAAAATAGGTTAACTAAGAAGCTCTCAACCAATTTGACCTGACGTCTATAGAACACTACACCTAAACAGTAGGATGCACATACTTTTCAAGCAAACATGGAACACTGATTCTACAGCACAGATCCTATGCCAGGCTATAAAACAATGGTTCAATACATTTAAAAGGACTGAAACTAAACAAAGTATGTTTGCTAACTACAAGAAAATTAAACTGGAAATCAACAAATAAAGAATTTAGGGAAACCACATACATTTGGAAATTAAACTCTTCTAAATAATTCATGGGTCAAAGAAGAAATCACAAAGGACACTGCAAATACTTTAGGGTGAATGAAGACAAGTTTTTAAAATTTAATTAGTACTATAAGAACTCTTCCTACAAAGAAAATGCCAGATCCAGATGACTTCACTGGTGAATTCTACCAAATATTTAAATATCAAATAATACCAATTCTTGATGTAGCTTTACAGAAACTCATTCTATGAGGCCGGTAATACCCTGACACCAAAACCAAAGACATCACAAGGAAAAAATCCTCAACAAAATATCAGCAAACCAAATCCAGCAAAATATAACACGGTTTAGTCACCAACAGCAAGTGGAGTTTAATCCCAGATTGCAAGGTTGGTTTAATTTCCAAAGATCAACTAATATAATTAATGTATTAACAGAATATAGGACAAAAAATACATGATCCTCAACAGACACAGAAAAAGCATTTGACAAAATCTAATCCCTGTTCATGATTTTAAAAAAGAAACTCTCAACAAACCAGGACAAGACGGGTACTTCCTCAACTTGCAAAAGACATTTATGAAAAACATACAGCTAATGTCATACTTAAAGGTGAAAGATTAAATGCTCTCTAAGATCAGGAACAAGACAAAGGTGCCACATCAATTCAACACTTTACTGAAGGTTCTACCCAGTACAGTCAGGCAAGAAAAATAAAAGGTATCCACACTGGAAATGAAGAGGTAAAACTATCTTTATTTACAGACAACCAGACAGCATGATCTTGTATGTAGAAAGTCCTATGGAATAGACAAAAATCTATAGAATAAACAAGTACAGCAAAATCACAAAATACAAAGTCAATAAACAAAAACTAATTGTGTTTCTATATACTAGCAATGGATACTACAAAAATAAAACTAAGAATACAATTCATTTCAAATTAGCATCAAAAAGAATAAAATGCTTGGGAATAAATTTAACAAAGTGCAAGACTTGCATACTGAAAACTACAAAACATAGTTGAGAGAAATTAAAGACTTACCTAAATGGGGAGATATTCCCATGTCCATAGATTAGAAGACTCAAAATTGTTTAGATGGCATTTGTACCCAGATTGATCTACAGATTCAACATAACCCCTATCAAATCCCAGAAGTATTTTTGCAGAAATTGACAAGGTAATCTTAAAATTTGTGTAGAAGAGCAAAGATCCAGAATAGTCAAAACAATTTTTAAAAACAAGAACAAAGTTGGAAGACTTACACTTCCTAATTTCAAAACTTACTTTGAAGCTACAGTAATCAAGAGAGTGTAATTTTCACATAAGAATAGACATACAGATCAATGTAACACAATTGGGAGTTCAAAATAAACTCTTTCATTTACTATCAACTTATTTTCCACAAAGCCCCAAGACAATTCAATAAAGGAAGGATAGTAGTCTTTTCAACTAATGATGCTGTAACTGTTGGAAATCCACATGCAAACAGACCAATACCCCACATCATACACAAAAATCAACTCAGAGGATTGGCTCAAAGAACTGACTGTAAGAACTAAATCTTGAAGCGGCTAGAAAACAGGAAAATCATCTTGTGATCTTGGATTAGGCATATTTCTTAGATATGTCAAAAGCATGATCTACAGCAGCGATCACAAACTCATCAATCGAATTTTATTAAAATTAAAAACTTGTTCTTCAAAAGTCACTATCAAAAAGAAAAGGTGTGGCCTGGCAGAAAATACCCGCACGCTAATGGACCTATAGAACCAGAATACATAAATAACACTTACAACTCAATCACTAAGAAGTCAATCCAACTTTTCATTCATCTGGAGCTTGAATTCCCTTTCCTCTCTCCCCTTTTCAATTAAAAGATCATTTATCCTTGACATATAAATCAGAAGCCAACCTGGTGAAATCTGCTTCTTTTTCATCCCCCACCAAGATTTCCACAACTTTCCCCAAGCAAGAACCTATCCTAAGCATCCATTTTTGCTCTTCTGAATGTTGACTTCTAAGTTAAGCCGCCCTCCGGTAGCTGTCGTTCGCTGTCATCTTTACAATCTCACTCAGAAGCCTCTTGTGCAACTATTCTTGAGTGGGCCGTTTATCCTTCCTCTTTCATCCTTTAACTGCTTCCGTTAACATTTCCTTTCTGAGTTGTTCACGGACTTCAGTCGGCCCACATTTTCTCCAACCTTTTGAAATCTGCTTTCCTAACAGGAGAATTTCTCAAACCAGACAAGTTCCTGAGTGCGAATCCTACTGTACGTACACCTATGGGGGCCTTGGACCTACCCTTTAACTCTCTGAGCTTCCCCAGTAACTGTGGGGAATGACCGACTCCCGGGGTGATGTGCGAATGACCTAAGGCGAGGAGACAACCCGGGACATCTCAGCCGCTCGGTTATTGTTAGCAGCTCCCTGAAGCCGCTTGACGGCAGTCATCCCCGAAGTCTGACCACCCATCGTCGCCACCTCCCCGAAGTGGGCCGAGTGCCGCGGAGAGGGGCGGCGAGGGTCGGGGTAGGGAGGGAAGGAGCTGCGGCCCGCACCTTCTGGTCCAGCTCCAGGCGGTAGGGCACAGGCTGGATCCTGCGGCGCGGCCGCGACCCGGCGCTGGGCCCGGGCCCGGCGCTGGGCAGCACGAAGGAGGGCACGCCCAGCGCCCCCGAGAAGCTGAAGCCCCACACGAAGATGCGGTCGGTGCGGGCCGCGCGCTCGCCCACGTACTGGAACACGGGCGCGTCCGCCTCCCGCCGGCTCCGCGAGCACTCAGACGCCGTCCAGTGCCCGCGCCCCGGCCCCGGCCAGCTCAGCCGCCACCCCAGCCGAGCCGCGGCCGCCAGAGCTGCCAGCGCCATGCCCCTGCTCCACGCCTCAGAGGCTGCTGGCCGCCGCCATCTTTCGTGACCTTTGACCCCACGCCCCGGCGGAAGAGCCCGTGGCCACGCTTACTACTGGCTGAAGGTAAAAGCGCTGAGGGCGGACAATGGCTCGGGGGGAGGGGTGGGGGAGGCTGGGAGCCGAGTGAGCCGGCTGTGGGACTCAGGCCTGGCCCTGCCCTTTAGTGCGCGACCCTTCTCCGAGCTGCAGCAGCCGCCTGCAGCCACGTCCCTTCCCGCGCAATGCACGTTTCCTGAGCATCTTCCCGGCTCAGAAGGGTGCAGGGTGCTAAAGTTTCGCAAAGCCCTTTTGCTGCTTGCCTATACTCAGCTCCAGTGTAGTGGTGTCCCCCCGGCCCCTCGTCATTTCTTCCCTGACCTTGTGGCAGACATCCTCTGCCAGACCACTCAGTCCGGGCTCCACCCTCAGTGACTCGCTGAGGTCGGCGCTCGCAGCCCCAAGGCCTGCAGCGATGCGCTGCGGTCTTCAGTGCATCATCCTCCCCAGCGTCACCGCACACCCCTCAGCCCGTCACTCCTCTTGGGTCAGATGGCTTTACTTGTAATTTCTGAACCCCAGGTCTGTTTCAGCCCTCCCTGCTTTGCCCTCCTCGAATGCCCTTCCCACTGCCCGCCTTGTCCTGTGGATTTCTGGTAAAGTCCTATCCATCTTCTAAGATCTAGCTCGAGCACCCCTTTTGAAGTTAAGTGGAGGCAGGAACTTCATTCCGTTCATTCAGACTGTCCTCACCGGTTTTGTACTACAGCATTGCAGCCAGAAAAGAGATGCCCTCCTAAATGACCTCGGTTCTTTGCCCCTGGGTTCTAGTCCTGACTCTGCTACTGACATGCTACATGGCCTTGGGAAGTTGTTTCCCTTCTCTGGATCTCCCTCCAAAGTGAAGGGATTAAAAAAAAAAATACAGGAAATGGATTTTTTGAAATAAATGAGGTGGTTGGACTTTTTGACCTGTAGGATCTCTTGCAGCCCATTATGGTTCATGATGGACATTCCAAATACAAGTCCCAAATGCAAACTTCCTTCTTCCCTCCCTTGCTTCTTTTCTCTCCTCCTCTTTTTATTGCTTGATACCTGGAACTAATCCAGTTTAACCAATTCTCAAAACCTGTTCAAACTCTTGTTGTCCTGGAATGTGCCTGTATCCAGTCTGCGAAACATGTCTTGACCATGCTGTAGTGAAATATGGTTGATGTTTTACCATTCTGTGGGGCTGTGTTATAGAAGGTAATCAGGAAAACTGATTGATAGGCTCTGGTAGCCATAAGGCTGCTCTTCAAAGGCCTCCAACCACAGGGAACATAATTAACCAAAGCTATGAAATCAGGAGTCTGCTGGGCTGTGAAATCCATCATCTGTGTGCACTGAGGTCAGGCTTCCCTTGGACCCATCCCAACAACTGAGTGGAGTCAGGGATAGACACTCAGGCTGACCTGTTCCTGGAAGACATGGATCCTTCTTGGGCTCAAAGACTCCCCAGTGGCCTCACCAAGCCTTCCTTAGACCACACAGCATTGTAGGACATTGTTACCCAGCCTCCCCTCTTCCTCTCCCTCATTGAGAGTCAGACTTGAACTGTGTCCTTGATGGCCCAGAGCAGGCAACAAAGAGTGGATCTGGGCTGAGAGGCACTAAATTGATATCTGACAGAAGTGGAGGATGTGAGAAGGGGGCTTTACTTTGTGAAATTAGTGGTAGTCAAGTCTTGGAAACCAGATTTTTTAGCTATTTCCTCCCTTGCATGAACAGGTATAAGAGAGAATCCAGTGAGACTGTTACTCTCAAGAGATGTTTGATCCCTAAGCAGTTCTGCCAAGCCCAAGGCCAGCTGCTGTTAGAAGGGAAGCAAAAATTCTGTTTCTAGAATGTTCTGTTTGAGAAAATCTTCCATGCACAGGGCTGGTAGGTGTGTCTAAAAGGGTAGAAAGCTGAGACTTTCCTGAGTTTACTGATTAGGTTTTATAGATTGTTTTATCCCTCCTTCCTAATGAATGATTTTTTGTGTTTTTTTAGCTGTTTTACCCAATCAAAGAACACGTTTTATTAATATGGCCAATAACACTTTTTGACCAATAACCATGCGTTAAGTGTTTGATACGGATTAGTTCATTTAATCTTCACAAACACCCTATGAACTAGTTGTCCCCATGATCCTCATTCACTAAGACATAGTCTAGCACAGTAGTTAAGTTGAAGACTGCCTTCATTTGAATCTTGACCTACTGTTACCAGCTGTGTGACTCAAGTCACAGTAAGAACAGCAAGCTTTATAGCATTAACTTGACCTATTCCCACCCACCTCAGTTCTGCAGTAGCCCTGAAAACCAAGATTCACGATTATGATGAGTGCAGTGTGACAGCCACTACAGGAAGAACAGGAGTGGAACAACTTCAAAGCTACATTCCCAGAGAATTCTTACTTGCTCTGTCTAGTGGTTCCCTGGAAGACCCTATTCACATGGCTTTATTTATTTGACCTAACCCAGTTATCACCCAATGCAAACAGCCTTTTCCCCAGGGATGTTTCCTCAGAACAAGCAGAGGTTAATGATGAATATTGTAGCTGTCCAAGGTGGTAGATAATGGTTGGAGCAAAAAAAATAGGTTAACTAAGAAGCTCTCAACCAATTTGACCTGACGTCTATAGAACACTACACCTAAACAGTAGGATGCACATACTTTTCAAGCAAACATGGAACACTGATTCTACAGCACAGATCCTATGCCAGGCTATAAAACAATGGTTCAATACATTTAAAAGGACTGAAACTAAACAAAGTATGTTTGCTAACTACAAGAAAATTAAACTGGAAATCAACAAATAAAGAATTTAGGGAAACCACATACATTTGGAAATTAAACTCTTCTAAATAATTCATGGGTCAAAGAAGAAATCACAAAGGACACTGCAAATACTTTAGGGTGAATGAAGACAAGTTTTTAAAATTTAATTAGTACTATAAGAACTCTTCCTACAAAGAAAATGCCAGATCCAGATGACTTCACTGGTGAATTCTACCAAATATTTAAATATCAAATAATACCAATTCTTGATGTAGCTTTACAGAAACTCATTCTATGAGGCCGGTAATACCCTGACACCAAAACCAAAGACATCACAAGGAAAAAATCCTCAACAAAATATCAGCAAACCAAATCCAGCAAAATATAACACGGTTTAGTCACCAACAGCAAGTGGAGTTTAATCCCAGATTGCAAGGTTGGTTTAATTTCCAAAGATCAACTAATATAATTAATGTATTAACAGAATATAGGACAAAAAATACATGATCCTCAACAGACACAGAAAAAGCATTTGACAAAATCTAATCCCTGTTCATGATTTTAAAAAAGAAACTCTCAACAAACCAGGACAAGACGGGTACTTCCTCAACTTGCAAAAGACATTTATGAAAAACATACAGCTAATGTCATACTTAAAGGTGAAAGATTAAATGCTCTCTAAGATCAGGAACAAGACAAAGGTGCCACATCAATTCAACACTTTACTGAAGGTTCTACCCAGTACAGTCAGGCAAGAAAAATAAAAGGTATCCACACTGGAAATGAAGAGGTAAAACTATCTTTATTTACAGACAACCAGACAGCATGATCTTGTATGTAGAAAGTCCTATGGAATAGACAAAAATCTATAGAATAAACAAGTACAGCAAAATCACAAAATACAAAGTCAATAAACAAAAACTAATTGTGTTTCTATATACTAGCAATGGATACTACAAAAATAAAACTAAGAATACAATTCATTTCAAATTAGCATCAAAAAGAATAAAATGCTTGGGAATAAATTTAACAAAGTGCAAGACTTGCATACTGAAAACTACAAAACATAGTTGAGAGAAATTAAAGACTTACCTAAATGGGGAGATATTCCCATGTCCATAGATTAGAAGACTCAAAATTGTTTAGATGGCATTTGTACCCAGATTGATCTACAGATTCAACATAACCCCTATCAAATCCCAGAAGTATTTTTGCAGAAATTGACAAGGTAATCTTAAAATTTGTGTAGAAGAGCAAAGATCCAGAATAGTCAAAACAATTTTTAAAAACAAGAACAAAGTTGGAAGACTTACACTTCCTAATTTCAAAACTTACTTTGAAGCTACAGTAATCAAGAGAGTGTAATTTTCACATAAGAATAGACATACAGATCAATGTAACACAATTGGGAGTTCAAAATAAACTCTTTCATTTACTATCAACTTATTTTCCACAAAGCCCCAAGACAATTCAATAAAGGAAGGATAGTAGTCTTTTCAACTAATGATGCTGTAACTGTTGGAAATCCACATGCAAACAGACCAATACCCCACATCATACACAAAAATCAACTCAGAGGATTGGCTCAAAGAACTGACTGTAAGAACTAAATCTTGAAGCGGCTAGAAAACAGGAAAATCATCTTGTGATCTTGGATTAGGCATATTTCTTAGATATGTCAAAAGCATGATCTACAGCAGCGATCACAAACTCATCAATCGAATTTTATTAAAATTAAAAACTTGTTCTTCAAAAGTCACTATCAAAAAGAAAAGGTGTGGCCTGGCAGAAAATACCCGCACGCTAATGGACCTATAGAACCAGAATACATAAATAACACTTACAACTCAATCACTAAGAAGTCAATCCAACTTTTCATTCATCTGGAGCTTGAATTCCCTTTCCTCTCTCCCCTTTTCAATTAAAAGATCATTTATCCTTGACATATAAATCAGAAGCCAACCTGGTGAAATCTGCTTCTTTTTCATCCCCCACCAAGATTTCCACAACTTTCCCCAAGCAAGAACCTATCCTAAGCATCCATTTTTGCTCTTCTGAATGTTGACTTCTAAGTTAAGCCGCCCTCCGGTAGCTGTCGTTCGCTGTCATCTTTACAATCTCACTCAGAAGCCTCTTGTGCAACTATTCTTGAGTGGGCCGTTTATCCTTCCTCTTTCATCCTTTAACTGCTTCCGTTAACATTTCCTTTCTGAGTTGTTCACGGACTTCAGTCGGCCCACATTTTC